GATTCTTGGCTGAATACTTCAGCACTTTTAAACAGCGCGCTCCGGACACAACTAGTGCGGTTATTTTGGTGCCCAAGTGTGCCCACCTAGAAAAGGAATTTCAAACACGCGGTTGGACCTTACTCAAAGAGTTTACAAAAAACTCCAATATCTTCTCCGAACCTAAACCCGGAGGTGGTCGCACCAGGTCCCCAAACTGCAGCGGCGAGTTTCAAGCATGGCTCGACCCCTGCCAGGAAAAGTCCAAGTGTTCTGCACTAGAACCTCTGACTGAAAACACCGCGCCACTACTACCGTGCAACTTTACTAGCACAAAAGCTGTCGCCTTAGTCGACTCAGGTGCTTCGCACGTTTTCATATCCGCCACACTTGTGCAAAAACGGGGTTTACAGCCCCTCACTAGCCACGTAGCTACTTGCATGCTAGGAGACGGCGCAAATAGCGCCCGCCTCCAAGGTCAGGTGCATACGTCGCTCCGTATCCACGGATTCCGCTGCAAAATCGTAGCGCAAGTTATCCCCAATTATCCACCTCACTCAAGGCGCCCCGAGGACGGGTTCGCATTCAAGAGGGGGGGAATGTAACGCCGCTAAGGCGGCCCTTGGCTCACCGGGCCAACGGTATCGTACCAACGGTACATCCAAGAACTATTCATAATCTTCCAATACCAAACGGTATTTATCAATACCACCTTTATCGTTGGATAATTTCCTTTTTCGCAACTGCTTGCCAACTGCAAGCTTTGTTACAATGCAAGTGGGCCGCGATGAACACTCAGTGCATTACATGACAAATACTGCTGTAAATCTGCAGTTCAGCCCTGGATGTCCAAGTAATTTTGCGTGTTACATGGGAACGTTGCTTCGGATGACGTCAAGAGATCAGAAGCTTTATGGCCAAAAGGTATCTATCCACCAAGCTCATACTATATATTTTATATATGGTGGTGTGGGTTCATGTGGCAATATAGCAGATCCTTGCCCCGCCGCTATGTGGAAGCGCTATTTAGGCTTGCCATGCGTGTAGCGATGTATCCCGCACGCAAGGGCCATAAAATGACTGCCTGAAGTTCTCGCGAGGTTGCAAGGGTGGTACAATAGCGTAGTGGGAAAGCCCCATACGTCACTCAAGAAAATAAGTTATTTTTAGCGTGACGGGGCAGACGCTCAATGGCGTCAGCATGAAGGACACACGGTCTCTGTCGACCTACGTGCTTTATATAAAGTTCAGGCTTTCTTGGCGCACCATGAGCTAGATGTAGCAGCAGGACGCCGAGGTAGCAGCGTGCTGCTGTGGCTAGGTCTACCTTATGGTCTGGTAACTCCTAGCTGCCGGCAACCCAGCACGTGCAACGGTTTATCTACGTGTGCTATAAAATTAACATTGACAAGGTTGAACATTAGCAGGCCAACATAGAGAGAGCTGTAAGATGGCTTCAGTAGTTTCTGGGCCATTAAAAAACTCCTACGAGCCACCAAGCTGGTGGATTTGCACCATACTGGAACCCCTTCCTAAGTTCCGACTGACCGAGTCTCCTTCATCCAGTTTCGACCTTTTCCTTACTTGTACATGGTAACTGTTGCCAGAGGCGGAGTACGGGATGAGTTGTCGATAGGGATACAAGTAGCAGCAAAGAAGAAGGCAAAAAATATTCACTAATACCACTTTCTGGGTGCTTGCTTTTAATCTCGATTCCAGTTGGGCTATGATTTTTTTTATATGGCTCTCCTGATAATGACAAGCAGAAGGAGATGGTAAGGATAATGTATGTACATGTGCCGGCTGCATGAATGTAAGCACTCAGCGTCAAACGCGTGTCGGTGGATATCTCCTGCTCCAGTACCCATACAGCAAAGCAAGTTCGCCATTGTCAAAGAGATGTCCAGTGGTTTCCTGGTTGTTCCGGAGGGAGTCGCTATGCCCGGAATAATCGTAGCCGTGCCAATCCCTCATTGATGTACAGTTGACGTTAGAATGCACTGTTGTTCCTTAAAGCAAAAGGGTGTTTTTATCAAGTGCAGCTCCACTGGCACCCTATAGAACAGTAAGCTCAGTCTTCAAGTTACTGATTTGTTTACAAAAAAATCCTAAAGATCAACACGAACCCAAAAATTGGGTACTTTGCCATAATTGTATAAGTTTTTATCTCCTATGCTTACCCAAGTTATCCACAAGCGAAATCCACCATTACCAAATCCGTATTAAACAATGCGACAATCACAAAGGAAACCTGTATTTTGCATACTTACTGAATTTGTTAATTAAGAAATTAATAAAAAAAATATTTTTTAGGAAGAACTTCTTCCGAAAGATACCTAAGGTCGAAGCAATTTTCGCTGCTTTGGTTCATCAATTTCCTTCATAAACGGGCTCCAGGGTTTGAGGACTGTTCCGACATCCAGGACTGCGAAGGACCTCTTGATTGAAGGCAGCAATATCCGCTAAAGTTGTGGCGCGAAACTGGTTGTGGTTTCTTTCGGCACGTCGCATTCCCTCCAGAGACTACTCATTTTACTCAATTCGACCGTAGGATCTGGACGCGACATAAATGGACGATGTGGGTGATCGGTCCTAAACATCCTAGCGTTGCCTACTGCTAGGACGCTCTCAGGTCGCAGCAGAAGGATGTCGACTGCCTCCATATAATTAATATCAACTGTTCTGTCCACTTAATTAACTCCATTGGGCTCAAAGTTCATGCGCTGGCCTCGTACCATATCGAGTGCTGCCTATCCCTAACAAGCCTTAGGGTGCCCCTCTACCAGGGGAGAGCAGGGAATTGCCTCGGGAAGGAGGCCACTGGTGAAGCTTAACCACCCTGTAACAACATCAACATCAACAAAGTGCCCATGCTTAAGTGCCGTTTGCGGGCACGCAGGCATTGTGGTGTGCCGCCCTCAGCAGAGCGACTCGATGCAGTATGAATCGTTGCAGTCTGGTGTACTGACAGCTTTGATAGTATGAGGATAACACTATAACACATTCCGGTCCCTAGGTTTCTTCCCACAGAAGCTCGGATGGAAGCGCGTGGGGGTTTCCGTGCGAGAACGTTTAAGAATTTGGCGCCAATGGGTTGGGGGATGAGGAGTCAGGATATTGCGGGTCGTTTTTGCAATAAACTGCGGATATTCCAGCCACAACTCCCACAACCAGCTCTACTCCCGCAGCAGAAGGTCCAACTTTATGCAAAACAGCACCCGCTGGTGCGCCAGTGGGTACCTACGAGTTTAGATGCTAGCTTCTCGCTGTGCGGAAAACTTATTTCGTGGCCAATCACTGTCCCGCCCACGCAAAGCCAGAATGTTCGCCACGATCGTGCGCTATGCAAGCCTCATGCCAACGGTCCGTTCATGCCGGGTCCTAGTGTGATTCCGCTTTACGCTTCCGTGAGCTGCTGTCGCCCAGCAGGTGGTTCACTGCATCGCTGCCATACGGCCTTGGCCTCTTGCACGTTTGGTCCGTTGCCCCCTTCCTCCAGTTGCACCTCCATCTGTTGCCACACCCATGCCGCCATCCGCTGCCATGTCTGGCCCAGCATCCGGCTGCCCCTCAGCCGCTCCAGCCGCCACTGCCGTCGCGCCGTTTCGGGACCTGCAATATGCGGCGCGCTAATGAACCAGCTTGACGTGGAAATACTAGCCAGCGTTTAAAGTAAGTCCGTATCACTGGTGGATGTGGGGCTGGGCGGCAATCTAAAGACGCGCATCCAGGCACCGGTTGGGCCCACGCGAGCAGTCCTATGCTCACCTCTTCGGTCCGCGACCTCCCTTGCCCTTGCTGGCCCCTGTGCCTGCGGCATGGGGCTGGTCCCCTGCAAGCGCCGCAATCTCCCGCTCCAACTGCTGCAGCTCCACAGCAGTACTGGCGCGGGCCTCTTCCATTCGTTGCGCTGCTACGTCTGCCCGCTTTAGCGCTTGCGCCTCAGCTGATGATGCACCCTCTACCGCGTCCAGTGCCGCCGCCAGGGCCTCCACGTCCGATATCTGCTGTGAAAGCTGCTTCACCAATCCTGCCTGTACATCAAGCAAAACAAAGGAAAATGGAATGCTCGAGGTGCATAGCCGAAATGGCCACGCATATTTTGCATATTTTCTATCTTGGGTGGCTAAGAAGAGCGGCGATAAATGTATGCCACGGGCATCATACATTTCCAGCTGCCGCAAACGGTACTGCACTGGCACACGGCTCCTGCGCGCCACCTACACGTGCACTCTGTCTCTTCCTCGAGACCGACCTGACCTGGGCAATATACACCGTGGGCTTCGCATACAGCTACGCGTGTTCACAACATGGCACAAACTTACGCCACAAGGACGATGCACGGCCTGCACCCTGCAACAAACAGCAATCCACACCAGAAAGCATCGCAGCTGAAGTAATCCCCAGAGCGTCCAATCCATAATGACTCCTCCCGCATTGTTTTAACCAGGCTTCCCAAATCTTTTATGTTCTCGATTAATACAAGTATCGCATCACTCTCCGCAGCCGGTTCGGGCCCAATTTACATGGCTTGAACTTATATCATGAAGCAGCCGCATTGCATAACCATACGTGGCTTGTTGCATCGCAGCCCCCTCTTGCATCACATCAGCGTGGCGTGCAATTACACATCTTTGACCGCATTCAAAGCAGGATCCTGGCCTCCATTCGCCCGCTCCCTTGAGGCCCATCCCCCGCTATCATTCGGTTGCCTGCTACCGTTATCCCTTTTTTCCCATCTGCCTCTCCAGCTCGCGTGGTAGTCTTGCCTTTTGCAAGCCCTTCGCCCTGTCTTAGGCTATCACACGTTACCTCTCCAACCACTCCCCAGGGCGTATAAAATCCACTAATCCGCATTCTATCTTTGCTTCATTGCATCTAGCCCGGGTTTCTGCATGCTTCGCATCCTTCGTATGATCCAACGACGAGACGAACAGGAATCTTCTGGGTTAAGTGTCGGTTTCCGGTGTTTTGTCCCCGGTTGGGTCATCACGCCGGGTGTAGCAACGAGCATATCGCACGCCCCGCATATTTGCCTGGATGACGAGGCCTGCCTTGCTGCGGACAACGCCCCGCAGCCGTACAGCAACAAAGGAGCGAGAAGCCTAGCAGCATGCAGTACCTCCGCAGGCTTCCCTAAGTTCGGCCAATGTTTTAATTCACGCTTTAGCTCCTCCGCTTTTTGCCCGTCCTCACACGCGTGCATGCTATTTGCCTATGACCTTGCCTTGCATGAGATGGCAGGCTCTTATGAAGACTCCAGAATCACCACACCCTAGGGGTTTCCCGCGCCTGCCATGAGCACACTCACTTGGCTGCCCTGTGCCGCTCCAAAGCGGACCACCGCGTCCTCCAGTGCCGCCACGCGGAAGCCGCTGCCCACCACGACACCGCGCCCGCTGAGCTTGCCGCCATCCAAGGTGTAGATGTCGCCGAGCCCGGCGCAGCCTAGCGCCTAACCATAGGAAGGCACCCGTGCAAGAGACAGCCTCATGGAAAACGTTATGCAGCAAAAGTCGGCCCATACAATGTCATGACATGTACTCGTAGCGTGGGCCGTGACAAGGCGGGGTCATTGCACCAAGCTGTCCGTGGGCGCGCGCAATGCTGCACAGCGCAGGCCAAAGCCTTCACGCACGAGGCCGCCCCCGGGCATTAGACCACCTTCCATCCCACCTACCTGTACCACATATGTACGATAAGCAGCTGCCTGGTCCAGTGTCTCGAACACCAGGGTGCGCCCCAGCTGGCTGTAGAAGATGGTGGAGCGGTGGCCCGGGATAATGGGCCGCACCAGGTTGACAGCGTACCCCAGGCAGCCGTGCGGCCATTCGTCGGCAGCTGGTCCCGTGGCCGCCGCTGCCCGAACCCGATCTGCACCGGGAAACGTTGAAACAGGAGTTACAAGCACAAAATATAGGTGCACTACGCAGGGCGGGCTTGCATCTGGGGTCGACACGGCCGCCGGACGCAGTCATGCACGTGGCGTTTGCACAGCTGCTGAACGTACCTGGGTTTGCAGACATCAGCATGCGTGTGTGCGGGAGCAGCATGGGCAGTGTAGGGTCCGCTCCGTCGCAGCCCGCCGCTTGAAGAGCCCGGGCCTCCGGGCTGACGTTGCGCATGGCCGCCACCATTTCTGCTGCCTGGCGGCCACCGTCTCCCGTGAAGCCCTACGCCGCGACGGCCACCCAGAAGAATGCTTGGGCAGTTAGGCTTCATGCAAGCTGCTTACGAGAGCTTGTGTACGATAACCGAAGCCAAAGCGCGGCGAGGACTGCTGATCCTGGCGCAGCGCGACATGGGCAGGCCCCCAGCGGAATCCCTACGTACCTGCACCATGTTGATCGCCAGCATTGAGGGCAGCTGGTTGCGGTTGGCCGTGAGCATCTCACGAAGCCGTTTGATGCATTCATACGTGCGAACCACCAGGATCTGCACGTCACAAGCAGGGAAGTGCAGCGCACGTTTCACATAGGTACAGAGTACGTGCTTGAATGGCATGCCGTAAGTGCCCTAACTACTGCACGTCTCTCACATTGCCTACAGCCCCGTTTGGGCAATACATAATAAGTAGACAGCACGGAGGGGAGATACGTAGTTGGACTACTCCGGAAAGGCTGAAGGCCACCCACTTGCAACGTTGAGGCGAAAGCAGCGGACAGCAGAGCGCAAAGGTGTGGATTGTCCACTGTTGCCAGCTGTGCGATGACGCCCACCACTTCACCTTGGCCCTCCGGGGCGGTCAGGCAGCGATTCAACGCCATCACCACGCCGCTGGTGCTTGGGCCGTACCTGCAACGGTAATCAGCACATGTCACACGGCTGATGTACGCCTCGTCTTTAAAATGGAGCTGGTTTGCGCACGGCTTTGCACGCAACTAAGCGTGGAGAGGATCAGTATCCCCGGCATGCATGCGCGGCACATCCAGTGATACACGGCTCACCTAGCGTTCATGGCGTCCTTGCGCTGTTGCGAAGCAGATGTTGCACGTTGGTGCTGTTCTCGCAGGCGCTGGAGGAGCTCCTGCGCCTCCGCAGAGCTCTGCGGGGCACCAGCCATCCCCCGGCCTGCAGTTGCGATCAGCAGGGTGTCGTTCGCGACGCAAAGAACGGTACATAACATGTCTCCATACCCACTCGCAACTCAGCAGGAAGCCCAAGCAACGATTTTTGCATTGAAGTATACAGACGAAGGAAAAACAGTACGTAGGTATTGACCCACAGCCTACCTGCCCGCCGCACAATGTGCTCCACCGCCTTCTGCGCTTGGCGCACAGCTTGTTGTGCAGCATCTAGGGCCCTGCAACGTCATCCACCGTGAAGGCCAGGGTCACGCGGCCTGAGTCAGCGATACCAGACAGTCCGTTGCCAACGGCCATATACCGGGTCGAGCCTCACATGAACCCCAAATGCTATTCCCTCACGTACAAAAGTCCTGGCTCCGATAACAAGGAGCGTGTGAAGAGTTGAGCACCAATGAAGCACATAAGTCACATGTGGTGCGTTAGTGGACTACCACCTGTGTGCAGCGGCCTTGGCTTCCTCCTCACGCGCCACCGCAGCCGCCAGCTCGTCCCGCGCCGCGCATAGGCGCTGCAATGTTGCAGCGCGGGCTGCATCATCCGAGAACACGACGGACCCCGCCCAGCAGCAAACCCAGCCGCCGTTGCCGCCCGCCGAGACACCACCGCCCACGTTGAGAGCGGCAAGTAGACGCAGTTCAAGGTGCAGAGCCTAAATCGGCAAAGTAAGCAAATGGGGGTTCTCAGCGCAAACCCCAATGATTTGCCGAATGATTCGCACAAACAATAGGTTAGTGAGTTTCGCCAGTTGGCCATTGATCCTTATAGTTACGTGGATAGGAATGGGATTCAGGAATGTCCTGAGGCCAACTCAATAATGGGGACGCCGTGGACTCAGCATCCACTTCTGTGACGCGGTACGGAAAAGACGCAAAGCAGTTGCAAGGAGCCAGTGCCAAACCGAAACTAGGCCTGGGCCCCTGCCCTCTCCCTTCACCTCACCAGGCCTGCACCGTCGCCGTCGCCGCAGCTGTCGCGGCGGGCGGAGCCCACCCTACCAGTTCCCTCCATCACAGAGAGCTCCTTGAAGAAGGCACGGCCGCGCGAGTCCGTCAGCGCCTCCAACACATATGGCATGTCACCACTGGCGCCCTGCAGTAATCGGACAGGTATTGCCTATCATCCTCAGCATATGCTGGCCACACCCCCAAAATGCAACCTTACCAATCGCCATAAACGCAAAGGGAGAGGGTTGGAACAGGTAAAGCCCTTAGGCCAGGTAGTTCCCGCGGACGATCTCAGTCCGTTAGGACGCGATGCACGTTCGTGATGACTCACCTGCAGTGCCGGCAGCTCTGCCCCCGCTGCAAGCGCCTTGGGTGCAAGCCCCGGCCCGCCGTCACATCCATTATTGGGCAGAGCATCCTCTTCGCTGGGCCACCCAAGCACCCATCGCACGGATACCCCGTCCAGTGCCACTGCGTTCCCATATTCATCCCGCAGCTGCACGGCGACGGAGGATAGCAGCGTGCGGCCGCGACAGTCGCTGCCGTTGGTGATAGTGATAGGGCCTGCGGCAGCGGCGCAAGGATCCTGCTCCAGATTAGCCCGCACGGGCGGTCCAGGAAGCAGCTCAACTGTGTGGCTGACGCTGCGGACGTTCTGTTCGGCCTTCGTCAGCGCCCTGCACGATCAACATGTATGCAGGGCGGAGGGATAACTAACGCCAATGACCTGAGGAGGCTGATCCGGGACTAGGTTTGGGACCGTCCAGGCTAATTACGGCTTTGAACTGCCGTTTGCCGTTGCCATCGCCCAAGGAGTCCCAAGGAACTGCCGCTTGTGTTGCAAGTTCGCCAGGGCAATCGACCCCACGTCATAAGGGTACCCGTGATAGTCACAAAGGGCTGTCAGTCATTCTGCAACATGACTCTCCATCCCCACCTCGCCAGCTCCGGCCGGAGCTCCACGTACTCCGCCGTCACCGAGTACTCGCCCGCCACCAGCAGCGGCCCCGGCGTGGTAAAGGTCCACAGCGACCGGCTATTCAGCGAAGCCCCATCTTCAGGCGGATGTGGCAGCAACACAACTGTACATGCGGCAGCACTATTGCCCCCAGTGCCTCCCCCGGCTGCCGCCGCTGCCGCTTCGGGGTCACCCCTGGCAGCTGCGGCGGCCCCGGCCGATGGGGCTTTAACCCGCAGAGACAGCCCTGCTCGCGCAACCTCAAAGGGTAGCGGCCCGCCGTCCTCGGTGGTGACCTCCACCTGCAGGTCCAGGTACGCCCCTGGCTCCAGCGGCTCCTCGGGAAGGCTACACGGCGCGATTGCCACGTGGCGCACAACGTTCAGAGCGACGACCTGTGGACGAAAAATGCATGTGCCGCACCGCAGCAGTGTTTCAGGGATGTAAGAAGCAGAAGACGGCAGGGGAAAAGAAGTCGGCAGCGTTTGGACGCATTCTATTCGTGGGAAGGTTGATGCCACCTTTTTGGGAAGAGATGCATGCAACCCTGAAAGGAAAACTGCAATGGACAAGGGCTATCAAAGGATTTTAGGAGGCAGAGAGCTTAGAGGCAAGCATGCTCTCGAACTGGAATGTCGCCTCATTATCCGGCATACCGCGAGCGATGACAAGGGCCCACGTTTGGCCCTGAAGAACGGCCTACAATGTGGTCTCTCAGCATGGATTCAAAATCCTCACCTCGACCGTCAGCACGGCCTCCCGCAACGCCACCTTGCGCGAGGCAGAACCCACGCGAAGGGAATACGCGCCCGGACTTCCCTCCACCTTCACTTCCCGAAAGCAGGTGCAGCCCTTAGTCACCTGTGTTCAAGGCAGCGCCGTATTTAGAACCCTCATGATGGCCTGACGCAGCTTCCCATGTGCCATGCAGTTGTCCGCGCGGGGTTTTGCGGCCGCTGCCACGCCAGGCTCAACACCTTACACCTCAGCGCCGTTCCGTACAGTCGGCACGCATTTCAATAAGGATACATACCCCTTTGCCTAATACCTGGCTGGTAAGCTACGCGAGCAAGTGCTCCAAGCTATAAACAACGAAAACCCTTCCGCACTTGATGAATTCAACAACCTTTCAGCTTGCCTTTGCTTTGTTGCTCCCAGCGACCGTGACCTTGGCGGCGTTTCCCGAGCCGTCCGTGGCAATGGCGCTGGACTGCAGTGTCAGCTCTAAGTTTGAGCCCTGCTCCTTGCTTCCCCGGCCTCCTAAGGCCAGATTCTCTACCAGGTTCCCCCAATCGTCCGTGACACGAACTCGGAGATCGCCCAGGCACCCCCGTGTACCGCATTGCAGTAGCTGTGGCCCGTCGAAGGCAATAGTCGTTGGTTGCCCTGCACAAACAAGGAATCCAGGCAGGAACCGGAGTAATACTTATAAGGTGACCAAACAGGGTGTGTGCGCATCATGAACGCGTCGAGCCGGGAATGCGTGCATAGGTGGGATTGTGGAACAAAACATCGCGGAATGAATATCGTGCGGGCGCCCCGGGGGAACTGTGTGAAGCACCTTTTCACTTTGCACGGGCCCGAGTCCATCCAACGATGCCCAGTGCACTTGTGCCATTCCGCGGTTGCGCCATGCCGGGGAGGGGGGTTACGAACCCCATTTGGCTGCGAACCCACCAGCGTGTAGCTCCACCGGCAGTTCATCGGGCTGCAGCAGGGACGCGCCGTCAGGACCTTGCATGTCACGCACCACGAGCTTCACGGGGCCCACGCTGCCTCCGAGCGCCATCCTCACCCGGTAAACTTCGCAGCCAGTTTGCTGCAGACGGGATTGCACCACAGGCACCTTTTAGGTAATCGGATCACGTGGCGGCGCCACGTGCGCAGCAGCGTGCGGCTAACAGGCCAGGCGACGAGCGTGGAGACAACGAAACAAAGTTTGTAAATGGCATAGCTTTAGCAATCCTGCACCGCACGTAAGCCGCTGTGGGCCAGTGGTCAAGTATCGGAGACTTACCTGTGACAAGTCCCAGCCGCAGACCCAGTCTGCCGTGTCGTAGAGCAGCGGCGCGTCGCCCTGCTCTCTGGTGGGCACCACAACGGGCGTGGGTCTGGGTCCGGGCCCCGTCCAGGTGAGGCACCTGCAAGGGGAATTGGATGCCAGTAGACACCAAGCCTTTTGGTGCATTGATGCATGAACTGCAACCGGCCTTGGCCACGTCAATGCACGTGCTGTCTTCCCAATGCAAGCAAGATTTCAACCACGCTGACGTTATGAAACCTTTGCCTGCCGTAGCGGGTCCTGTCCTTTCGTCTCTTTGCTATGCAGCACTCTCAGGCCCAGCTAGGGCCACGCTAGAAGCCCAGCTGCAGTAATGCTACCCACCGATTGCCGTGGGCGTCATGCGCCTCCACCTCCAAGCACACGAGTGCACCACACGCAACGAAGCCTAGGTTCTCGGTAGCCTGGCTGGTGGTGGCCCCGGGACCGCCACCCCCTCCGTTGGCGACCCCGCCGCTCTCCACCAGACTGACGCCCCAAGAGACAGGTGGACCGGCGACTACCAGCACCTCTAACGATGTCTCGAGTGTCACACCGGATAGCAGCGGGCCATCACCAACAAATCTGACCCAAGCCCCTTGCGGCTCGGGCCCCACCTGGGCCAGGTACCAAAGACAGCGGGAGGTGTTCGAGGAGTTACGGGAAGGTTGGATAGTGGAAGCGTGCGTCCAGTCGCGGCGTAGGAATTGCTATGTATCCGGGGACAGTCTGCGTGTTGTTGTGTGACGCCCATGCACCATATTGGTGAAGCTGTGATGGAAAGGAATATAGGGCAGCAATATATGGGCAGCAAATGCTGTAGCTGAGAGATGCGGTAACTACGGTAGCCGTGGCGGCACACCTGATCTCGCACAGCCAGCGGCGGCAGCTCCAGCCTTGACCCTTCCTCCGTCACCTTGACCTTTTTGCTACCTTTGCTCCATGACACTTGCAGCTTGCCTGCACGCATAGCAGGTAGCGTAGAAATGAGGATGCCCAAACCCCGCCAACTATGAAAGCCGTCCATCTTACATCCCGGCATGAAACGCATCAGCGTCCGCATGTACCCCAGCAACCCCACCGTCACAAATCTGCTACATATGCACCACACTAAATTAGAGCAAAAGCGAAGGTAATACGCTTGCTTACCTTTAAAACCAGGTACCGCGGGCCGACCACCCTCATCCAACAGGGTTAGCAACAAGCCGCGAAGCTGGGAGCCCGCGGACACGTTCCGCAACACTGCCACTAGCCCGTCGCCAGTCGCACTGGGGCCCACCTCACAAGGCTGCGCGCCGTATAAGGACAAGGTTTTCGAATGAGCACAGCACGGAATGAAAGGCAAAAGGCACAAGACCGTTGGCGGAAAGAGCTTCAGTCACATCCATTTTAGAGAGCATGTCGAGGACATGCGTGTCCGCTGCCATTGCCATACGCCATGGCCCCTCAGGTCGCATCCAGCATGCTAGGGTCAGAGGTTCTAGACGAGAATATTTGCCAATTGCGAGGCCCAACACGCGAGGCCCATACGCACCTCCCCATTGTATAACAGCTGTAGGCCCGCGGGCAGCGTGCACGGCTGCACCACGAGGGGTAGCAGCAATTGCGACCAGCCCACAATACCTCCCGAAGGGCAGGCACCACCCGCAGTGGCGGCGACCGCCTCGGCCTCCACTGCGCTTGCCTGTGCCAGCTCAAGCGCAGCCCGCGGGCCGCTGCCCCGGGCAGTGCAACGTATGCTCAGCCTCATGTCCTGCAAAGGGCACATTGCACTGCGTTGAAATGCATGGGGCATTCATTTAGGATTACATGTCCACCGGTGGCAGACCTGCCCTACAAGAACTCGCCACGAAGGTAGTTGAGGCTGGCAAGAGCTGTGTCAAAAGACCCGGTGACTGTTTTGAATTTGAAAAATAAACACAAATGCAAATTGACGCACCTGACGGGCGCCGATGTGTGATGCATCGGGTGCGGCCACCTTCACACCCTGCACAGTTGCAACTCCACCCGCGTCGATGTCGAAGGGTGCCGGGCTGGGCTGCAGCATAGGGCCCTCAAGCTCTAGACTTGCCGGAAGGTCTGCCGAGGGCCCGCTGGCATTGCCCCAGGCATCGAGCACCAGCACCTATGGGAGAAAGGTAACTGGGTGTGATGGCATAGCGTATGTACACCCACCCGCATTAATGCACCTTTGCCTACTTGCTAACATCCTTCTCCGTACTCACTAAACGGGGCCAGGCTACATATTTTGACTCCGGGGCACGGCAGACAGAAACTGATAAGCTCTACTAGGCATAATCTGGCGCTGCCAAAATTACCCAAAGCCAGCCTGAGCCAGTTGTGTATCTCTACCCATTCGTGTACCTGGAAGACGGGCAAGGCTTCACCGTTCATGACACAGACGGGCTGGAGGACCTGCAGGTTGGCCGCTGGTTCCGAGCTCTCTGCGTCTGCGGAGAAGGGGTTGCCCGTCATGAGTCGCAGCGCCGCGGGAGGTCCAGGTCGCAGCTTCAGGGGTAGGACCTGCACCGGCATACAACATGACACCACCTACAGTATATACAGGTCCAGAGTCAATGTGAACGTAAGCGTTTGCGCGTTGCTGCAAGGAGTACAAGTATGCATCTGTATCATGCATTGCCAGGCGTAATATAGAGCTGTATCGCCCGGGCAGACCGCACCTGGCTTGGCATGTCGGGCATTGAGACACGCAGCTGCAAGCTGACTTCGGGTGCCCTTGGCCCGGCCGCTTCCTGGCCACCATTTGGTGTGCGATCGAGGCTGTGAGGTGCCTGCTGTGCCTCTCCACCCCTCCCAGATCCGCCAAAGAGTCTCATGCCTCGGTTGCCGGGCCTTCCCCCCGTTAGCCGCAAGCCTTGGAGCAGGAGCCCCTCCTCCGTTGGCACCTGCCCAAGGAGCAGAGAAAATTGGAGGCGATGCAACGATAAATGAAACGTGTCGTGACCTGTGTAACACAAAAGGAAGCTATCCACGCGAAGCCCTTACCGCCTGCCAATCAATTTGGACTTCCTCGAGGGAGCCAGGTGTCGCTTCCTCACTGGCGCCGTCGCCGGTGTCCGCACTGGCCAGCTGCACCTCAACGGTAGCGCCAGGATGGCCTGCCATAGCATGATTCGGGAGTGCTGCTTAAGCATCTCCCAAGGTAGCGCGATTTCCATAACATAAAAAACCGAGATGGTTACAGGTTGCTCCGATGACAGACAGGCATTTGGAGGTACAGTGCCCAGGATTGGATCAAGCGCCTGGTGTACATTCGACGGCAAACCGTGCAGCGCAAAGCCATGCTCACCTCCGCCTGGCCCCACGGCTTGCGTGACCGCATTGTTTTGCGCATCGAAGCACACGAGCTGCAGGGATGGAAGCGTCTCGCCGAGCGCAATTGCCTTGGTTGCAAGCACGGCTCGCGCCTCGCCCTGCTCGCCAGGATGAAAAGGCAAGGGCAGGTAGCTTTCATCCACCATGCTGACGTGCCATTACTGAACTTGGGAAACGTGGGGCGCTCTCGCCCAGAGACCACTTACCCGCAACTCAAAGCGCACGGCTGGCCCGGCGGTAGCGTAGCAGACGGTACGAGACCAGATGGTCATGGGAGCCCCGCTCGGGTCGCAGCCCGCCGGCAGGTCGGGCAGCATGGAATACTCCAGGAAGTAGGTTCCGGAGCGTGTCAGACCGCCTGCACGGAACCGGGAGGGGATGTAGGAGTGAGTTATGAAGTGCGCTGCGCAAGATAGCGCGGTCAATTACACTGTGGAAGGTAGCTATAAGTGACGACCGCCAGCGCTCATGCGACATACAGGACGACATCGTGCAAGGCATTCGCTCCACGGAGTGTAGTATAGGAGTTGGTGCGCGTGAAACTGTTTCAAGAAGAGGTTCGAGTTGGGCCCATCATGCTGAGACCGCCCTACCGGTAATCCTACTAAACTGGTATAAGTTGTCGACAGGGGTCTTGTTCTCGACCTCAAGCACGAGCTCCCCAACACCCTCTGGAAGGGGCCCGGCGGCTCCTGCCCGGCTGGGCGCTGCTGTAGCACCCGCGGGGTCGGACACGGCCTTGTTCCCGACGTCGGCCTCAGATGACACGCGGCGAGATCGTTTGGACTGGGGCTGCGGCACTTGGTTCTCTTTAACGGCATCGGCAACACCCTGTCCGTCGTCCATCGCAGCTTCTGCTGCCGGATAGTTCTTCTTACGGCGTTTGCGACCTTTTTTGCCAACAGGCTCGGCGGTTTCGCCTGCTGCAGCAGCTGCTGCAGCACCCGACCGGTCGTTAGCGTCCGCAGCAGCAACAGCTTGTGGCTCCAGCTGGCGAGGAGATTAGTGAGGGAATGGATACGGCAGCTCAGCAAAGGCAACTCCGCCAAGTGGATGAACCATTCAATGTGCACGTCCTATCCCCAGCTTGCGACACACCACGGTTTACAGCCCCAGCAGGTTACAAGGGTGGCCCTGACACATGTTTACTGACCTGCTCCCCACGCGCTGCCTCCTGCTCCTCCCCGCCAGCACCGGAAACATATAGCCCGCTGCAATACGCGGATGGCCGCCGTGGACCCAAGTAAACAAGCCGCTGCCGCACGCGGAGCGCGACCTTCTGGCCCTGCGTGTTTCAGGAAGAAGTGTATGCGATCTTGGGTTTCTCTCAGGCTACGCAGCGGCACGATCAAGTGCTCCATATATCATCATCCTAAGATGTTCACAGTTTGTGACAATCATCACCCATCTTGGCGATGCCCACCTGTAAGAATGTCCGGGTCAGGCGCTGCCCCGCGGCGTTGCAGAGCGCCACAGTCGTCTCCGGAAGGACCTCGCCCACTGAGACGTCAACACGTCGGCCTGATGCGAAGCGGATGGGCTCCAACCGCATGGAAGATGGCAGCTGCAACCAGGCAGCAGCACGATCCACACCGGGTTCAATGGGGTCAGGTCGGCGTCCTCAAATCGTTCCACGCAACCACCTTTGAAAGGCAAGCGATTGGGAGCCGTCCTAACCGGTGGAGTGAATTGCTCATTTACACCAGTGCCCACCTTAGCGCGCTCACGCGACGTGAACTCCTCCAGCACAGCTGGCGACACAACTCCCTCGATGCGCCGCAGGTTGAGGGTTGCAGTATGGCGTGGTCCGTGGAGGAAGGCTGGGAGACCACTGAACGTCACAAAGCCGGTTGCGTAGACCCCTTCGGAAGCACCGGCCTGCATGCGGGCCAGCATGAGACCCAGCTGAGCTTGCGGCGGTGCTATAATTGAAGAAAAGTGCAGGAAAAACACTTTGTTAGAGATGCGCAGACCACGGCGGATGCCACATCCGCGTTCCTTGCAAACTTACTTGGGGCACGGCAAAGTACTTGACACGTCCGAGCGCAACTGGTTTCGTGGACAGCCGGACGATGTCACCAGCGCTGATCGTGCGGGTGCCGTCGGAAACCCCCGTGAAGCCAGTCACAGCCTCCCCAAGCTCCTTCCGAACCAGCGCCTGCGATTACGCACGCACCCATACTTACGGGTACAGCAATACACAGGGACGAGCATGACAGGTGCATGATCCGACTTCCAGCCGTTTTGACCACCTTTCATCAAGCACAAGGAACAAAGCTGCCCTTCTCTACAACATGATCAGCCCGTTATAGACCTGAACCCAAACGAAGCAGCACGCATTTCGCCCACACTTTGCTGCGGTCCGACATGAAGTACCTTTAATTCCACGTCCACGGGCCCTTGGAACTGTAAGATGCGGTCCAGGCGGGTGTGGCAGTCGCGCAGCCACTCGCGCAGGCGCTTCTCGATTGCGCGATCAGATGGAATTGCAGTCGCCAGCAGCTCTGGGAGTGGGTCTCGGAAGGTAAGCTTATTGCGTGTGACGCGCCAGGCCGGTCCGAAGAACAGCGCGCCGCTGAGGTACACGGCATTGTACGGCATGAAGCAGCACACGATAGCGGACGGGCAGTCATGTAGTCAGCTACCGGCTGCAAAAGTACACCAACCTTCTTAACTCGCAGCGCATAAGAAATAAAAAGCACTAGAATGCATACGCCAGAGTACAGACCCCGAAAGAAGGCAAGTTAACCTAGAGTTGCTTGCATGCAGCAGCTATTTACTAAATTCGTGTGACATGCATGGCATGCATGCACATTAGGACACATATCCTGACCCGTATATGCGCACCGTATGCGCCCAAAGACCTCATCTGGAAGGTAGTCCTTCCCCGAGGAGCTGCCGCGCATCTTGGATCGCAATGCGTCAATGAAAGGGAGGCTCTCCAAGCCGCTTCCAGGGATTAGGCGGCCCTGCCAGAACGCCTCAAACATGGGCGGGTGGCCTTGCACCGGAGGATGGCCTTCTGCAGGTCGGCCAGGTGTGCGGGGCGGCTGTGACATCCGTCCAAACATGACCACAAGGTTTCCCGCAAACAACGGTTACATTAGTTGCTAAGATGTAACCAATTTACTCCCTATGCCCCGCCCTTACAACTAGCCACAAGAACATAAGAGGTTAGACACCGGCTGTTTCCAAACTCCGCTGAGCCAACTCACCTTCCAGGTCCTCCTCCCGCAGCATGTCCGCGAGCGCACGCTGCATCTGCTCCGGCAGTTGCCCCGTCTGTGTACCGCTCGCGGCCCCTCGCTCTGCGCGTGCCAGCTGCAAGGCACACAATTGCAAGCTGTGAATTCGCTACTGCTTTGGAGGATCAACGTTCAGTGAACGCAAATGAAACCGCTGGCAAGAGGACAGGGCAGGCGTGCCCCTTACCTGTGTGGCCAGAGCTGCCGCGCCGTGTAGTGACAACTGCGTCGGCAGCTCCTGCATGAACTGGGTCAGCACACCCTGCCCACCGGGTCCCGCCGAGCCGCCGCCACCATATGCGGCAGCACCGAGCTCCCGCGGCACCGTCTCAGCGCCGTCCGTGAACGGGAAGTACCACATGACGCCCTCGACAGTCCCTGCCACAACGGGTATATGCCACCTTAGCTCATGTGCAAATGCTTGTATGGTTTCGCCAGCTATCAGGGGAAACGCATAACTGGCAGCCTAGCAGCGGCCGTAACGGCGCGGCTGATGACCACGACCGCTGTACCTAAGGCCTAAGGTGGTGGCTCTATTCATATGTTTGGGGGTATCGGCGCTTCCCCACAGGTTACGTAAGCTCACCATTCAAGCGTGCGCACCTTTGCCGGGCACGTCCACCTCAAACTCCATTCTCGCCTTCGCGGCCCGCACGTATCTGCTCTCCAGGTCGTCGTCAACCTCTGCCAGCGCCCGCCGCCACACTTGCTGCGAGCCCACTAGGTATTCCACAATAATAGTGGGCATCACCTCGCCGCCAGGAAGAACACCTGCGACATGTAGGCTACTGCGTAACCCCAAGGCCAGCGCAGCCTTACAAAACGTCTGAGAGATCTGCCAAAGACCTCCATCGGAGGTTACCCTTGCTTCGCCCTGCCTAGGCGTAGTTAACCATCGTTCGGGTCCCAACAGATATATGCTCGCTCTCAAACCTTCCCCGGAGAGGCAACATGGTTGGTTGAGGTTGAAGGACCTCCATTCCCACGCGGCACAGCCCCATGAAACGTGTTGAATTATAACCCTTCCTCAGCATCGAGCTCCCTGAGCGTCTCTTTCAGCGGACCGCGCACCTGGAGGGCCACTGCCCCCAGCGGCCGTTGAGTGGCTGGCGCCCACGTTGCCTGACGGCCCGTGCAGGTAATAATGGTACAGGTGCGCCAGGTCGCGGCACACCATGGCGCCGCTTTCGCTGTCACGCACTAGGCTCAACACGTCGGCACGCAGGTCCCCTATGGTAACACGAGTGAACGACGTGGCGGCGGGCTCCTCCGCAAGCCATGAGCGAGAAACAGCGAACTGGGACTCCTGCATAGATGAGGAAAGCACGGGCCTTTGTTCAAGGCGGCGTGGGGTTGGCTGATATAGGGATTGTGGAGCTGATGATGGTGCCGGACTCTTGCTTCCTTGCTTGGGAGGCCGGGGAAGATGCACCAAATGTGAAGGAACTATGAATGACAAACAGGACAAACAGGAGAACGCTGGGGCGGACCTCTTGGGAAACCGTGGAAGCATCGCCAGGTTCGCGATGAATCAGGTCCTCCTCATACACGTTCTCGCCGTCCCTGTACCTGCAGGCCACAAGTTTTGAAGTTTTCGTGAGTAAAACGAAGGCATGTACTGGCTTTTTTCTTTAGTACCCAATGAAAAAAGGGGTCAGCGGTGTGGTGCGAGATGCGCGGTGTGGATAGAACCCTACCCATCGTAACCTGCCAAGAGCTTTTCCCGCAAACGGCGGCTCTCCGACCCACTGCAGCTGCGATCACCCGTCCTTTCGCCCCCTGACCGCAAGTGTGGAAAGTCGATCCCTACCACCCGATGCCCCTGGCCGCACCAATCCGAGTCCCGCACCTGCGTTCAAGTTCCGCCCCGGCGATGTGCAGCTCGTGCACAAACTCGCTACCCGCTTGCCGCGTCGCTAACTTGACGGAGCTTCCCATGAAGAAGGCCGCGTTTTTTGAGCCAACACCGAAAAAGGATAGGTCGCCGCTGAGGTAGCGGCCGCCCCCTGCGGTTGACCGGATAAGTGAACTATCTAGTGTCATTTACATGTTTAACGAAGCGCAAGGCTGTTCAAAATCCATTACAATTGAGCACACCGTGCACCTTGACGTGAAACAGCCGGGAGCCACAGCGGACTCCAAATCCGGGGCTCTCTCTAGGGGAGGCCTTCTGCGGTATACGCATGTACGCTTCCATGCGCACCTGCCTGCTCCGAGATCCGCTGTCCTGCGCTGGGAAGCAGTCCGCGGTCCTCCATGGACAGGTTCATGATCGCCCACTCGCCAAGCTCCTTTGATGACATGCCACGCCCATTATCCTACGAGTTGATTGATGTGGCCGTTGCACTGTTCCTTAGTGGGATGTATGACGCGAACCACAACCCCGTTGCACACATGGCGTACACAGGATTGTTTCCTTCTAGCGCTGGCATATCGGCCTGGTCGTACGGAACCCGACCCACAGTATCCAGAGCTTCTCCGGGGTCTCCGCTCCTCACGGACCAAGCCTGAACCATAGGGATCATCCTTGTCAATGCCCTGGCTATGGCCTACCTGGACGCGGATGAGTCCGGCTGTGCCACGCTCGTTCACCACCAGGCTAACAACAATCATCCGCGGCCTCTCAGCGCTGGCAACTGAAGGGTCTGTTGGTAGCTGGGCTTTAGTAGCTCGCAACGAGTTATCAATGAGCTCTGCCAAAGCAAATGCGAATGGATGGTGACCCCGGGCAGAGAAGTACTCGTAGTCGCCCGCCATGGTCAGCGTCTTTGGATGGGGAATGAAACTGATGCGCTCCTGCATTTGCGTACACCACACATAATTCGAGCCGGATTTCAATGCCGCTATAGCTCTCGTTTAATAACGGAAGGTATACGCACGCACAAAGGAACGTACCTTTGCAGGAGGCTTGGAATCACTTCCAAAGGACAAATTCTTGCTGCTGCTCTTAAGGAGTCCAGGAGTGCTGCTTGCAAGCCGTGAGGCCCCGGGCGGGGGCTTGCTCCGACCAGTCGTCCCGGCAGGTTGAGTGCCGGTCATCATCCTGCTACCTGGGCTGCCAAGACAAACTTGCAGCTGTTCGCCTGGCTTTAGCTTTCTAGCTGCTGCATCAGTGTCAACCAAGCGGGCGCTCCCGTTGGCAAGGAAGAACTCCTAAAAGAAAGCATGATGGGTTTAAGAAGGTAAAGTGTTTGCTCATGCATTCTTGAGAACCCTAAGGCTCATCCTAAAGGAGGTGTGAAAGGAAAGCCCAGAAGAATATGGAGACCGGGACAGAAGCACACGACTGCAGCAGCTGAACACGGTTTACCCTTGGCTTCGCCACCCGTACAAAACACAATCCCCACGCTAATCCTCAGTTACCACACAAAGCCCGCGTGTTGTACCTGGGTGTCAAGCTCAGGCTGGAAAGCCTGCTTCACGTTAAGAATTAGGGAGCGAAGGTCAGCGAAAGGCACAGGTAGCCTCGCCTGCCGCCGGCCCCCAAAACCATCCTTTAATAAGACTGTGAGATTCTCTGCGTCCGATGCAAGACACAACCATCCGCGTTACGGAAGGAAGTTGGTTGCTAGGCAGCCGTAATCGGAGAAGCGCCGAGGTAAACGCGGATTTAGAGCCCATACTCTATAACGACGGACAGGCAATCGGCATGTTGCAGAGTCCGACATACCTGATTCCTGATTCATTTGGACCAGAAGTCAGAGGAAAGTTATCTCTCTGGTTGTCCTGTGCGCTACCGACGTGTATAATAATACAGCCATTGCAGGACCTACGTCATAACGCTCAGTCTATGCTTTGCCAAAATGCTATTTGCATGTTTACACAAAAAGGATTTGCAGGCTACTGTCCACCATAATGCCGGCTGTCATCTAGCAATAGAAAGGTCGCGACTTAATAATTGCTATTAAAGCCAAAGGAAGACAGCACAGCGACCATTGCATTTCCGAAGCTTGAGACTGTGTTGGGGTCGATGCTGCGGGATCCATAGCTGTCGTACAGTTTTGTACGTTTTATTTCATTGTCCCTGCCAAACTTCAATCAACACAACGACCTGCATAACGTAACAAAAGCTAGTTACCTTTGAACTTGTCAACTGTCATCTGAAGTAAGTCTTAGCAGGACGCTGCAGTCCTTACGCGCCATGATGGAGAAAATGACCTTTGGAAATGGCCTTCCGGGATACGAGGTTGGGGAAAAAACAGCACCAGGCCTCCTGGTCATCCAGGTGTGGCACTCGCTTGTTACCGTGGTTACGAAGTTGTACTTCGTAACCTAGCTGCGGGACTAACTGGGTATCCTTGGTGGGAATTTTCACATTTTTTTCTTTTTTGCAGGAGTACTGGGGCGTGGTAGGTCCCGGAAGGACAACTGACTTGCACTTGACCTGGTGCCTTGTGGGTGATTCCGCTGGCTAAGGCCACGTGGGCGGACGCACGCATCGGCGCACACATATGCTTGCCAGCTCTAGGGAGCTACGAGTGGAAAATGCAGTTGTGGCTCCCACCTGGCAGCGCCTTGGTCTTAATGACTGACAGCTTGTATGCTGCGAACCTGCCAACTGTTTTGCCTGGTCAATTGTCTGAATAATCTATCCCACCTGCTGGGAAGATCGTCCTTTCCCTCGCCTCGTGCCTGTCCCTTTATCACACAGAATGACCTCATCAAGGAAGTGGCAATCATGCTGAGCAAAGCTGGCTTCCGCTGCCTCATACCTGACCTGTACAAGGGGAAAATCGGCCTGGATGCGGAGGAAGCGGCCCATGTACGTATTGCATGCTTCGCTTCCGACACGACATGCTGGTACTCCTACCATTATTGCACGCGCTTCACCCCATGGAAGTAGATACCCTATCTTTGGGGTGGTAGCGTCTCGAAGTCGTCTATTTTTTATTGTTAATGCATTATGCATCATTACAAGTTGACATGGCCATGCGCGAAAAGCGCACAAACATGGCATACTAAATCCCACGATTACCTCCGCAGCTGTTGAATGAACTTGACTTCCAAAACGCTGTGGAAGAGCTGAAGCAAGCGGTCCAGTATCTTAAGTCCACGGGGTCCGCCAAGGTAGGGCTCGCACCACAGTAGCTGGCACCGCCCTGCCATGTTGTACCAATCCTTGTAGTCTGAATGAGCCAATACCTGTACCGCGTTGCTGCGTAGGTGGGCGCGGTTGGGTTCTGCATGGGCGGTGCGCTGTCGTTCTGTGCGGCCCAGCATTGCGGCGTCACTGCCGCCGCGCCCTTCTATGGCACCCCAAACGCCACCATCTGCGAGGTAGGCGCGATCGCAACTCACGGCCGCCGGGAGCCGGCCGCCAAGGGCCCAGGCCCTGGGCTTCCAAGACGGTGGTTGTTATTCTAGGGAACAGAGGGTCCGTAGCCTCGAAAAGACATCTGCATTAGCGTTGATGCGCACAAACGGCATGCGTGCCATGCCCCCTGCCAAATCCTCGTAACCCTGCCAAACTCTAGGACCCTCGCCAAACTCTAGAACCCCGCCAAACCCTTTAGCCCGACTCACCTAACCCGGTATTTTCCGGGCATGCGTTTGTTAGCTGCTGTTTGGAATTGGCACATTAAGCGAATGGACATTATGTCTCAACGGGCAATACCTGCCATGATTAGGCCTTACTCCGGGAAGTTACAGTGCGGCTTCGTGTGCCGGCTGCTTGCATGCGACACGCAGGTTGAGAAGATCACGGTGCCCGTCGAGGCACACTTCGGCGCCTTGGATACGATTACGGTGCGCTGGGTCCATTGGACGTTCCTTCGGCGACTCGGCAAAGTTAGCGCTGCTGGTAGATAGACCAAGGTCGCCTACTTGCCTCAAGCTTGAGAATAACACCAAACATGTATTCTCGCCATGCCACCTGTGATTTTCCCGGGGGCCACCTTCCTGTCAGTCCCTGGATATTCAACGGGTCGTGTGCTTGCGTGCGGATATGTATGCGTGCAGGGCTTCTCAGATGCGGCGACTGCTAAGGCGCTGGAGGAGAAGATGAAGCAAGCTGGTGCTCCTGCAACCTTTTACTACTACGGTACGTTTAGTTAAGGATACATTGGTTGCGGAATCAGCGGGTTGGCGTTACGATGCTCGAAGTCGCCGCTATGGATAGCGCACGCGCGTGCGGGCAGAGCAGGGAAGCATTAACGCCGGGTGACAGCCTCGATAGCTAGTCCGGGGGGACTGCAGACCGCGTAGCATGACGTCAAATTGTTGACTTGATGTTCTTGCCCTGGCCATACCTGTCCACGGTTCGCTGGCGCCAACAGAACGATCGGGACATTCATTCTTCAATGCTGTCACTTCCAAGGCCACCGAATATTTCGCGAGTAAGTGCTGCGCGATAGCGGCTCTGGAGTGGTCTGTGTGACAGTGCCCTGTTTTGCGTACGTTCAGTTGCAAGTGATGGGATTTGGCTGGTCGGCGCGTAAGCTTGGTGCTTGCTTGCACCAGCAAGCGGTTCTGCAGGGGGTTGGTGCAATAAGAAGGGTTCAATGCTTTGCCGGCGCATCCCTCCCCTAACAAGGGTGGCACTCTTATCAGGAAAACCGTGTGCCGCTCGTTCTGGTTCCTTATGCAGAGTATGGCTACCCTGTTCCTGCCCCTGAGGAGGTTTCTTTGGCCCGTCAGCGGTTGGTGGATTTCTTCTCGAAGTACCTATCCTGAGGTCGCCTTCAAAGGAGCTTATTTCGTGCCATTGCAGCCTCAGTAAAGAAACAGGGTCAAGTGACACGTTTCTCCGGCCATGGTCGGGCGTGATACTGCGCACGGTTGACTTCGGCGTCAGACTTTCACAATCACTGGCGCGGATAAATACGTCGTTATTTTGCCGATTTATCCTAACACCGTTCCTAAACCCGGGATGTGACCAATATGGCAAGCCGCGATCCTCCTTTCCCCCTGTGACCCCCTCTTACTTACCCTCGTCTGAAATATGCCTTGGGTCGCGATGACCGTCAACGACAGTCGTTTGCATGGAGTCTCCCGAGTAGGGCAATTATGTGCCGGGAGTCTCACGAATAGGACAAGCGTTGGTACAGAGTTCTCACTAGCTTATATGTAGCTTATATGTGATCTAATGGAAGAACATGGGAGTTCGAAGCCCTGTGTAACGAATGGGCTCCTGTACCGATGCGGTTGCACGACATGCAGGACATTTTGAGCCCTCGATGATTAGTTCGGCATGTTCCCACGTGACGTCTAGATTAAGGTACACGTTTAATCTGCGATCACCCTAAGGGTGCATTCTTTGGGAAAGCTTTAGCACCATGCTGAAGCACGCAGCTAAGCTCTTGCCAGTGGCTAGGGCGCAGGTCTGCGACCATGCTGAGGTGCAGCTACTTTCCGTTCGTGGCATAAACTTTTTCAACGCGCCGAACGGTCCTTCTGTGAAGCAAGTAAGCATCGAGGACGAGTGGTACAACCGGCAACGAAACATCTTTCAGCTCCTTGATAAGCAGCCATATTTCCCCGTGGACGTCTTCGTTGCCCCGAATGCGGTTGTTTGTGGCGACGTGGACATCTACGGAGGGGTGAGCAGCGGTGGTCCCGGAGGTGTCATTGTTCTCTTATTCCCTGAGTCATATGTTATGTTCCCACCATGTTGATTTCCAATGATGCGCAGGCGTCTATTTTCTTTGGCGCTGTGCTTCGCGGGGACCTGAACAAGATTCGGCTTGGCAACCGGTCCGCAGTGCTGGATCGCGCTGTTATCCATGCTGCTCGGTAAGTTGCAGGCAGTTGAGGAAATAAACTCGGGTGCCGGCGATGAGCGTTTGGCGGAAACCGTGGCAGGGCCGTGCCGACGGGATTGAATGCGGCGACGCTTATTGGCGACAAGGTGACGGTGGAGCCATACGCGGTGCTGCGATCTTGCCGCGTGGAACCAAAGTGCATTATCGGCGCCCGGTCAGTCCTCTGCGAGGGCTCAGTAGTGGAGGCGGAGTCCATAGTGGCGCCGAACTCGGTTGTGCCGCCGGCCCGGCGCATCCCATCGGGCGAGCTTTGGGGTGGGAACCCAGTGAAGTTCATCCGAAAGCTTACAGCGCATGAGGTGGGTTAAGCTGGGTATTTATGGCGCCCTTGCCCGGATGTCCTCTCCCCCCCGTGGTTTGGGAGGGAAGCAAGTAGGCCGATTGTGGTGTTGCGTCAGGCTTTGTTGTACCCCCCCCCCTGGTGTGCGTGCTTCCACTCTTTTCGAGTGACCCCCAATTGTTACATCCCACCGTCCATCGCTTACCCTTGCTTCGCCTCATTCTCCACCACAGCGTGACCGCGTTCTGGACGACGTAGCAAATCATTACCATAACTTGGCGGCTATGTTCCGCCGGGAGCAGCTTGACCACGGCACGGCCTGGCGCGACGTCGAGGCATGGCGGCAAAAGCTGGTGGACCACGGCGAGTACCAGTGGATTAACTTCAGGGAGCAGAAGTATCTGATGCGCCTGCAGCACGAGGCGGAGGCTATGGAGAAGCTGGCGAGCTGAACGGCAGCGTTATATGAGGACTATAGCAGTGTACACACCAGCCCGCAAAGTATCCATGCTGGAATGCTTCCCGAAATGCTTCGGCATTTGCGGGTATCGCGGCTGTGGGTATTGAGCAGCTCTTGACAGATGATTATAAGCCCCGGGGTCGTATGCGCCGTTTGGCATGCTGTCAGGCATGCCCACAGTTGCTGTGCGTATCGATTACGGATGAAACCCGGGTCGAAGGGATGGTGCGTTAGCCTGTAATGCGTGCGCCATAATCCTTTACCAATGTGTCGTTGGTTGGCTTAAAAGCTGGTTGTGCTTCACCATATAACCATCTCTGGGGATTTCGGTGGAGGTATGTGGGAGTTTGCTTCGTCCTGGTTTTGCTCAGTGCCGTGCGTGCTAAGGTCTCGGTTTGGGTCGGAGTTTAGGGTTCTGGATTAATAGTTTACACGCATCGCCTGATGCCGTCAAACAATCAAAAACACGTAAGACATGGGTCTTAGGCATCGGAAGCAATCATTAGTCGAACAGAAGGGTATCACACCGCCCGCAAAAAGAGGGTGGCGTTGGGTACAAGACCCGCCTGCCGTAGCGTCTCCGCATCATCCGTGTAAGCCTTCGCAGGAAAAGCGCTGCGGATTTCGTACGACAGTCCGGAATGGGTCGCCTTCGCGTGGTGCGCGTTTAGGCATGCCCGCAAGCTGCCAATCGTGTCGTCGTACTTCAACTTCAAGATGTAGGTCTGTTTGCCATCCACACTCTTGACTTGCAGCGTCGCGACCTCGGCTGCCGGCGGTTGCCCATCACGTGAGGGAGGCGGAAGCGAGGGACCAACATGGTTGCGCTGCATGGTCGATAGCAGCGCATCCACGGGCGTTGAAATGAGAGCTATATCAGCCTTATTCCCATCGCTAGGGCCACCGCCCAACACCTTGGCAATGTCTGAACGGATCTCAATCACCTTCCCATTCTTAATCACTGCTTGCGGCAGCCGGCTCAGGAACTTATCGCGGGACATGGGCTCGGGCCTACAACCCTGAGCGTCGATATCGTCAAAGGTGCGGATGTTGCCACCGCGGCTGCTGGCCGTCGCAGAAACGCCGCTAGGGCCGCCGCTGCGCTTGGGCGGCGTACTGGCGTAGCTCTCTGATGTCTTATCGACTACACGCAGAGGCACGCCGTCAGGGAAGTCGCGCTTCAGCACATATGGGAAATAGCCGTCCAGGATGTCCCGCAGCACAGCGGTGCTGGCAGGATCATTAAAAGGCTTAGCGGGGAGGGTGTGTATCTGCAATCCGTCCCGGTAGATGACAAGGTTGACGGGATCTTGCATGGCAAGCACGTGCTGGCCTGCCGCATCACGGATGATTTGACCACACCCGTCGCCTGCTAAGTCGTTCAGCTCCTCCACTTTAGCCAGCAGTTCTTGCATATCGAATGGCGGTCCTCGGAGCCGTGGCGACAGCATAGGCATGGACATCGAGGGCCCCTGCCGAGGAGAGTGCTGCGGGGACTGCAGCGACGACGGCGGGCGCATTGACGTCGCGCTCGGGAGCGAAGTCGCGACAGCAACCGCGGAGGATGAGCTGCGACTGAGGCTGCTGATACGGTTTGCTGCTCCTGCAGCGGAGCCCGCACGGGAAGGTCCGCCACCGCCGATTTCCCCGGCCCTTATGATGGCCGCCGCTGCGGCTGCGGCTGCAGCTGAGGAGGGGCCAAGCGCGGCTCCAGAGTGGCTGCTCCGTCGCGGGCCCAGCAGATCGGAGGGCTCCGGCGAAAGCGACTGCAATGATCCCACAACCCCGGCGGGCGAGGGTGCACCGCCGCCGATTACAACATCCGAATGCCCGGCGCGGTGTGCCTCAAGCTCTGCCTCCGCCTCTGGCTCCCCCATCCACACCATTCCGTAATCATTGAGGAAAGCCTTCATCTGTAGCGGGAACACGGCGTCAGGGGCCCGGGCCGTCCACTCTTACATTTACACAACCCAGAAGAAATCGAGAAAATTTCGTACGAACAAGACGTTTTTTTGTGTGGGCGCTCTACAAACCGTTACTCGTAAAACATATGGTTGATTAACCGCCATAACAAACCTACGAGGCTCCAAGGCGTAAAACACCCGCTATGCCCTTTCTGCTCGCGCACTGCCCGCTTTGCCAGAGCAGATCGTAGGACACGTTTGCATGCAGGTGGTGTGAACGACGCGGAGGGACGTGCCGGGGCAAAGCTTTACTTTAGGACGAGTTGTAAACGAAAACAAGTGCTGTTTTTCTGGACACGGCCCCCCAAACAACCGAACGGTTGTAAAACCAGCCAAGCGCGTGCGTGTGGCAAGCTCGAGGGGAGCCTGGCTGAAGGGATGCACCGCCCTAAAGCTGCATCAACACCAAGTTAGCTCACCTCCTCTACTTGTCTCCATGCGTACTTGAGCTGCGCACGTAGCCGTGCGTTCTCTGCCCGCAGGTGCATGACCGCCGGGGAGTCGTCACGTGGTTCAATGGCTGCCAGGGCACGCTTTGCTATTTCCTCCTCCGCGACTTTGAGTTTGTTCTTCAGCATGGCGTTGTCCGCTTGCACCTGCTGCAGGAGGCACTGCCGCTCCTTCATTTCCCTTTCGAGGGCGCCGAGCCGCTTAGCCATAGTGGAGATAAGGTCCGATGCCTCGACGCCTCCGTTTCTGGTCGGGCCAATGGCTCCTCCTGCTCCGCCGGCTCCCCCTGCGGCCCCACCGCCGCTGCTCCCCACAACATCCAACCTGCTTTGGTCTGCATGGCCGTGTGTTGGGGGCCGCGGCGGTGGGTCCCGGCGTAACTGCGCAAGCACATTCTTGGATATAAGGTCATCGACATTGCTGTTTGTTGCCGGCGATATGCGCTTGCGATATAGTTGTTCAGCCATAGCAAAGCGGTTGGCAAGCCTATTGAAGTTCACAAGGAACAACTCAACTATGCAAATGCATTATCTTATAATATGCAAACAAGTTAGCACGCGCTCAACGCTAACTTATGAAACGACATAATACAGTTTGTCTCGAAGCTCGGCAGTGTTGCAGGACAGGAGGACCAGTGTGAGAAGTCAAGGGTGCTTATCACCATTGAGGCATGGCAAATTGGTGTTTCATGTTACAAGCTCATTGTAAGGCCCAGACGAGCGAGAAGCTCAAAGACCAACTTGTGTAAATGCGTGCTTTACAGTAAAAGAAAATCATGTTACCTACACATTGCCTTGGAGTAACATAACTTAGGACTGGCGACTCAACTGCCAAAAGCTGCACGTACGGATACGGCGCTAATTTTGGTCACCAAGGGGTCCACATCTGCCCTAGATTACAGCGGTGACGGTATTTTGTTTGGCGGTAGCATATATTACTTTGAGCTCAGTTTATTATAGGGATTAAAAACAAATTTTCCTTTACCTTACACGGTGAAAGTTCGAAATGACAGGCGCTGAACACGACCTCGGCAACGGCCAGCATGTCACACCGGCTATGGCCGCAGTTTTCCCTGAGGCCCATACACCGCTCTCTGTTGCCGATCCGGAGCTTTTTGCGTTGATCGAGGACGAGAAAGTGCGGCAGTGGTGGGTACGCTTGTCAAGGAAATTAAGGGCTTGCGTGTAAATGTTTGTTAAGATTGGGTCTTATAACGATGCTATGGGACGTCTTAACCTTATTTGCTCTCCCGACCGCATTCGTGCGGCCTTCGGACCTCACTCATATCGCCGCCGCTTTATTTGTAAGAATCTTGCTTTAATTGGTGCAGGAAAGGTATTGAGCTGATTGCCTCCGAGAACTTCACTTCTCTGCCTGTTTTGGAGGCGCTCGGCTCTTGCCTGACCAACAAGTATTCTGAGGGGCAGCCAGGCGCACGTTATTACGGTGGAAATGAGAATATCGATAAGATTGAATTGCTTTGCAAGCGGCGCGCTCTGGAAGCCTTTGGACTGTCCCCAGACGAGTGGGGTGTCAATGTGCAGCCTTACTCGGGCAGGTAAGCGGGTTACTAATGTGTTTGTCAGGTTTGGGAAAGTCCTATTCCTATACACCTGGCACGTAATCACCGCTATGTGTTACACGGTTGGCAAACGCCTTTATGTGTCCACCCCTGTCCTACAGCCCAGCCAACTTTGCAGTATACACAGCACTCCTCCAACCTCATGACCGCATTATGGGCTTGGACTTGCCAAGTGGCGGGCACTTGACGCATGGTTACTATACTCAAGGAAAGAAGATCAGTGCGACATCTATCTTCTTTGAATCGCTCCCGTACAAGCTCAACCCTCAGGTAAACAGACGTATGTACGATATCCGCCGCCTGACCACTTTGTATCCATTTGTTTATGCCCCGGACGCGACATTCATTCTGTCGGCAATGCCGTCTTTATTCACTCCCTTCGCGTCGCGGCCCCGTTCTCAGACGGGCCTAGTCGATATGGACAAACTGGAGGAGAAAGCGACGGAATATCGCCCCAAAATGATCATTTGTGGGGCATCGGCTTATCCTCGTGACTGGGATTACCAGCGTTTCCGCGAGGTTGCGGACAAGGTCGGCGCACTGCTGATGGTGGACATGGCCCACATAAGGTAGGCATGACTTGCTGGGGAAGGAGGGCTAGCCACGCCAGCGTGCTTGGGGATGCCCACCAATGGGCCGGGGTGTTCATGTCAATGGCAACGGTGTACCCGGGATTTCGCGTTTGTATTACCTACTTCAGCTGTTTTCCTCGCATCATGATTGGATGCAGCGGCCTGGTTGCGGCGGGCACTCTATCTTCACCGTTTGAGTATGCAGACATCGTCACCACCACGACGCACAAGTCGTTGCGCGGCCCTCGTGCCGGCATGATCTTTTTCCGCCGGGTGAGTTTTGAGTAAATATGTACATTTCGTTGCCGTGGACGCGCAAATGTGTGGGCGGGGAGCTGTATGCTTCGCAAAGAAATGATTGAGCACAGGCCAAATTTTGAAAGAGGTGTCTTTTCATGCATCAATTAAGATCCCAACGACATTTTTGTGTACGTCGCGTATCAATGTACTCAAGGGACCATAATGTGCCTGATATTATCCCTACACAGGGCCCGAAGCCAGTGGCCAGGCTGCTGAAGGGCGACTCGGAGGGCGCCGTGTACGATTTCGAGGATCGCATCAACTTTGCAGTCTTTCCTTCCCTCCAGGGAGGTCCGCACAACCACCAGATCGGTGCGCTAGCCGTTGCACTAAAGTACGCGGCAACACCGGAATTTAAGCAATACTCCAATCAGGTGAGATACTGACGTCCTTTCGCGCGGCGAACTCACGGTCGTCGCGTGGTAGGAGTTACCTAGCGGGATTAAGCGGCCGATAACCTGCTGGAGGAAGGGGATTTGAGTGGAATGTGTTTTACTGCAAAAGAAATGTGTGTGACGTGCCGCAGCTTCGCCGTGGCGAGGCTGTGTGGTTTCACCGTACCCGTGCCTGGTAAGACCCGGACTATGGCTTGCACGAGCTATAAAACAGGCCGACGCAGAAGCGATACGCCACCACGGCGTTTTGGCATGGACAGGAGCTGGTAATGGCGATTTGATGAGATGCGAGTGCGATGCATCTGGTGCTTGCAGGGTTGGGAAGGGCAAGGACGCACTATCATGAATAGCAGCAAAACGATCCACCAAAGCCTACAACATCCCACACATAGCACAGCCCAGTGGCACTACGATTGCCTCCGAAAATACGAACTCAGTTGCATCCGCATTCCATCAGGAGCCGCCCGGTTTCAGAACCACGGTTGTCGTAATTTGCAGAAAAGACAGTTTCCTTATTTTTTTATGTAACCGGTACGGTAAGTGAATATGATATCTCTTGGCTGTGCTTGGGGCTTAACTTCCTCTTAAAAAATATCAGTCTGAGGGCCTGAAATACAAGGCGTGGTGGGCTATTTAAATGCTCTGCTCAGGTGGTTGCCAACTGCCGTGCGCTGGCGAACGCGCTGCTAAAGCGGGGCTATAAGTTGGTGACGGACGGCACCGACAACCATCTCATCCTATGGGACTTGCGGCCTGAAGGCTTGACGGGCTCCAAAATGGAGAAAGCCTGTGACCTGTGTCACATCACGCTGAACAAGAATGCCGTTGTCGGTGACTTGTCCGCTATGAACCCGGGTGGCGTCCGTATTGGTAAGTAAAGTATTCGCGGTGGGGAGGAGCCAGGATGCTGTTTTACGGCGCATAGCTGGCGTGGGCATGTTGAAATGCTTCATCCAGTTCCGTCTTGTTGATCTTTGGCAGTCCCAAATTATTGTGCTGTTTTCCCAATGACAAGGACTACTTTGTTTGCATGGCCCTCTCAAACAGGCACACCCGCCATGACGTCGCGAGGACTGATGGAGCCCGATTTCGAGGAGGTGGCGGGCTTTCTGCATGAAGTCCTGGAGGTTTGCAAGGAGGTCCAGAGCACTACGGGCAAGGCAATTAAGGACTTTGTCAAGGGACTAGAGGGCAACACCCGCATTCCTGACATCCGCGCGCGAGTTGAGGCGTGGGCTAGCCGATTTCAGATGCCCGGGTTTACTGTGCCGCAGACGGCAGCTTCAAGCTGATAAGCGAACGGCTGTGCTGCTGGGACACATTACGAAGAAGAGGCGGGGGCCGCTGGCCCGGCATCTGTGGCTGCTTGACCCCAGCTAATAAAGGAACGTTGGGTGTTTTCATTCTTAGCAGGAAGGGTTGTTTCTTACCTTGCTGGCCCTGGGTTATTGTTGTTGTCACCACGAAAGTCGTCTCTTTCGTAATCATTCGTTCAATTGTTTCCGGCGTTGCCCTTCGTAAATGGGATTGTTCGTAGATTGTTATCCTCTATGATCGGTACCCGGGTATGGCGGAAGCTAGGCAAAGTCGGGTTGCCTCCGTTATGGGTGCTGGCCCTGAAATTCAAGGCGAGCTTTCTAATGTGCCGCATTTGAAATTCGTACCTTGAATATTCCGTGGAGACGTGCGCCTCTCAAGGGACACAATCAATGTTGAGCTGTGTTGAGCCGGTGGGGTTTACACCAGGGTAATGCTGAGTTTCCGTGTGCTGCCGTGGTTTGTCGTGCCAGGCATCGTTACATCATTATCCTATGATCAAGACAGACGAACCAGGAAAACTGTGATGAATGGAAGCTGAATGCTTCTGTAGTGCAGGAAGACCAACCACATCAATATAGCCCGAGCACTTTCGCAAATTGCAACCTATTTGTGCTGCAAATTGTTGCCGCCTAAAATGGATGGTTTTTGCACTGGGCGTCTGCCCACTTGCCAACGACCCAGTGTGTTTCACCGACACACTGGACTAAGCGAGTTGTTATGCATGGCTGGGCAAACACTGTGCTCCTTCGGATAAGGAAAACCATTTTGACTACGGCTGGCCGTGGTTTTCTATTGTGCACTGGCTGTATGATTTCTTCCACATGCAGTAGCAGGGATAATGCCTATAAGAGTAGCTAGTTGGAGGACAGGACCAGCAATCCATCCTGCAAAACAAGCGTCCAAATGTAAAAGCAAACAATTCTTCATAAAACAACAGTAAGCGAAGGTGCCTGTGCACTGCAATTCATCTCAATAAAATCCGCGGGGAAAACACTGGAAACATGCACCACGGCATGTCACCGGTAATACATGCGGTATAATACGCAGGTACAGAACATAGAGAACAATATACGGAGATTGGCCATGCGCATGAAGTCATATGCTGCATTCCTGCCCCTCTGAAGCCAAGTGATACCCGGCGTACTAATTTAAGACGTACGTGACTCTTTTTTTACCGGCGCGATAACATTCGGGTCCGCACTATGCAATACCTATTACACTTCCAGCTCAGGCAAGAAGAGGGTAAGCCCCTGAAATGTTTGCGGGACGCTCTGCGTGGAATAGGTATTTAGGTATTGGGGCACTAGTACGGAAAGGGAATCCGTTACCGTTATACCGTTACATGAGCAGCTTTGCAGCATCTAATGCACGAGTCGAGTCGCTGCCAAGTCGTTATGAGTTGCAGAACATTGCTCAAGCTACTTCAACTGTTCATACCTCATTATATGGAGCAACTGGACGTAATGCAGTATTCCCCAAAAATATCAGCTCGTTTTATTAGTTACTTTTATTTTTAAGCACGGCCTGCTCCTTTGATCTGTATTAAAAGTTGGTGCAGAGCGTGAAAGTCCGGTAGGAAGCTCCTGGCGTGCAAAATGTTGGCGCAGCGTGCTGTGTTCCTGCTGCGGTCTCAGCGGCTAACCGGCCAGGCATCATGCGGATTGTTCCTCCAAGCGACAGTGAGATTACTATCGGGTCAGCCTCGAACTAGTTCGGACTCCGGCGTCGCAGCTGATGTGGCCATCAGCAGCACAAAAGTACAGAAGCTTGCCGATGAGATTATGGGGCTGACAGTCCTGGAATGCAGCTTGTTGTCTGAGATCCTGCGAAAGAAGCTTGGTGTTCCACAGCCGGCTTTCGGAGCACCCATGGCTATGCCCTTTCCGATGCCAACCTCGCCAGCAGCGGGAGCGGGACCAGCTGCAGCTGCCCCGGCCGAGAAGAAGGAGGAGCCCAAGAAGGAGAAGACCGAGTTTGACATTAAACTCGAATCTTTCTCAGCCGAGGGGAAAATAAAAGTAATCAAGGAGATACGCGCACTGACCAACCTGGGATTGAAGGAAGCAAAGGAGTTGGTAGGTTATAGTCTGCGAGGCGATGGGGGAAGGCGGGGTAACTGTGGGCGCAGCGATTCTCATCTTGATGCTAGATATGAACACCTTTCGTGCGATGAAATGCTCGCTTTCCCTTCCCCTCTGCTCTACCCATCTAGGTTGAGAAGGCTCCGGTTTTGATTAAGGCAGGCGTGTCGAAGGCGGATGCGGAGGCTATGAAGAAGCAAATTGAAGTCGGTGAGCGGGGATGGGGGGGTTCGGGGCCTATCAGTAGGTAGGGTATCCTCAGCACTCGTAATCAGGTTTTGTGATCACACGCTCGGCTCCCAACTCCTGTGACACAATGTGCCAATTCCTTTAGCGCTCACCCTATGCGCATTTCCTGTCCCTGCTTTTTTGGATTTGCAGCTGGAGGCAAAGTAGCTATTGAGTGAGGAGAGCCGAGACGGATGTGTGAACCCCACGATGTCTACCTATGTTGCCGGATGTGAAGTGAAGGCGGATGCAGGTGCATAGGCGGCGTAGAAGTTTAACATTTGGGTAACAGGTTGTTATGTGAATGTGCATGTGAATGTGCTACTACTACAGTACGAGCTTGGGAAAGTGTAATAGGGGATTTGTAATAATGCGCACGGCGCCCCGACTGGAAAATTTCCTTACATGATTGCACACCTTAATCGGATCGTTTTCACCATTCCTGACAGCAACAGATTTGCTGCCCTGATAATTCTTACAATTACAACGATATCTATTCTTTCCAGACCCATACACAACCAGCCCAAACCCCATTACTACAGAATCATCCGGCATTATTTTGTCCTTTAGTGCATTCCTGCCGCTCGCCGACTCATCATCCCGCCCGCACTGCAACGGCAAAGCAATTGGACCTGTACGTTGATTGGTCAATGCCCGTGTGCGCAGTTGACGCAGACGCGCGAATCTGTTGTACGTCAAGGGCTCACTGGCGCCCTAACACCCAGGAAACAACAGTCCCCACCTGCACCATGCCCGCACCGCACGCTTAGGTGATCACAACTCAGTACATAGCACGGATCCCCGCACAGACCCGCTCACACCGAAAGCTCATTCATCACACGCACGCTCAGAATGAAGAACCCTTACGACGAATGCCCCACAATGTGGAGCTACAACTTGCACCTCCGCGCGAGCACAGGTTACCCGGCTAGGGTCGCATCTACATTTTCAACCTTGCGGACCTATGCCGACGCCTGCGCCAACGGGACACTGTACCGATAACAAAGCGAACAAAGGGGATATGACAACGGAACGCGACCGCCTCTCGCAAATAAGAGCGGGATGTTAAGGCCGACATTCATTCGTCCTGCTCTTGCCCTGTGATGCTCAGTAGGTCCCAGGACAAGCCCACAGGGCGAACGCAGAAGAAGCTTCGTTTCGGGCCATACCCACCACCAAACGAGAAAGCATACCGCAAGTTACGGCGCAAAATTGCACCCGGTACGAACAACATACAGCGGTGGCGAAAATGTCCGCAAGCAAACTCAAGAGCAAAACTGCGCAGCAGAGCGCGAGGTCCCCATTGCAAACTTGTATCACAAACATTTGCAACAGTGGCGGCCAGAGCCATGGGTCCCCCTCAAGGCTAAAGTGGTAATGATGTGGCAATTCTCCCGCAGATACCGACTGCGTGCACGCGCGCATGAATGCACCAAACCCAACATAACGACCGCGCCATCCGATACCTAGACACATCAGCAGCAGACCACATTGCCAAAACACTGAACACAGATTGGAGTTATTGGTCACTAATCACGCGGCTCCGGGCTTGCTCCAAATCTCTTTTATCATAGGCAGCAGGTCGGGGTTCACGGTAACGGGGTTCAAAGGACCGCTCGAGGGAGCACTCCTGGATTGGTGCCCGTTATCTACGGACGCTCCGCCGCCAGACTGAGAGTTACCGCTGACAGGAAAAGAACCACCATTGTACGTCCCTGCGGGTCCGTCATAAGCTTGCTGGACAAGAACGCTTTCCCGCCCAGGTATTGGTTGTGGTGCCGAAGGTGCAGATGTGGCGACCACGCCACCGCTCCCCATGCTGGGTAGCAGTCCACTTGAGGTTTGCACCATCGTCCCATTGGACGCTCCTACAGCTGCTGCTGCGGCCATGATACGGGCGTTCTGCAGTCAGGAAGATTCCTAACATTAGGGAAGATATCCGATAACCTACACGTGGACCCATTGATACATGTGGGTCTGGGCCTGCCTGGCTATGGTAATCAAGAGTGCATAAAAACCTAACTGCAGCGCACCTGGTTATGCACCTGTGCTTGCGCCTTGGCAGCGGCAGCCAACGTCTCTGCGAATAAGGTCGGATTTTCCGGCACGCCTCCAGCAAGTAGCGCAGCGAGCTCGGCCGGCATTTGACCCGGTGGAAGTGGTGGCCGCCGCATGCCTTGAGCGCCTGCAAACCACGTTCAAGCTCTGAAGGTGCTCATGACATTCCATTAACAGGGACATTCTCACCTGTGTCAGGTACACCGTTGAATTGGCCCATCGCCGGAGGCTTCCCGAACATGCCCGAGGCTGCTGGACCTAAAAGGCCATCGCCTCCCGTTGATCCGCTGGCAGCAGCGGCAGCCGACGCCGCCTGCATACCCATGTGAGCAAAAGCCTGCATATTCGCTGCCGCCGCGGCCTGTGCCATGCGTTGGTGTGCAGCGAAGTTTGTCATTAGCGCCGCTTGCTGAGCAGCGGCCAGCGCCTTAGGCGCCGATGGAAGGCCTGTCCACGGCACAGGCGGTTGGTCGTTCACAAGCATTGTGTCGTTGGCCGTCTCGCCGTTCATACTGGCAGACCGTCGCCGCCTGTGACGCAAATCAGGGAACAGCCAGTCAGGATAGAATGAGGTAAAAAGGTAAAATATCATATGCACAGATTCCAGTTTTAGGTACGTACCCTTCAGCTGCAGCTGCTGCCGCCTCAGCCGCCACAGCTGCAAGGCCAGTTGACTGCTGCATGGCAGCCTGAGCAACCAGCATCTGGTTTACAGCACCTGGTCCCGCCGCAGCTAAGACATGGTTGAGTGTGGCTTGATCAGCGCTAAGGGCACTCGTTAGGCGGGGTGCCATGCCCGGAAGGCCGCCCATGCCAACAAAGCCTGGCCCGCCAGCCAGGGGAAGGCCGGCAAGCGGTGCACCGGGACCGGGCAAGCCAGGCCCAGCAGCTTGAGCTGCCATTGGTGCTCCGTCCGACGAGAGCGCGCTGCCCAGAAAGCCAGGGGCAGCCAGGAAAGCGATGTTGTGGGAGTATTTGCAGGTGGCACCGCGGTTGCAACGACCCCTGTCCGATGTACGGCGACGAAGAAAACTGCCATGAGTATAGGACGTGCGGGTTCCATACATTAAAATTTCACATGTGTTCAACTATACAGGAACCGTGATAGTCAAATGCTTACCTTAAATAATCGTAACAGACCTCGCCGGCTTTTGGCTGTGCGCTCCCACCACGCGCCATGCGCGCGATGAGGCTAAGGTCGTGGCTGTAGCGGCATTCTGCACCCCTCTGGCAAACGCCTTTGACGAAATCGTAGCAAATCGCATTGGGTTTTGCACCCTTGTTCTCCTTCGCACCATTACTGTAAACCTGCAAACGGTTGGTGTTCAGGGAATTTGCAAACCGCCTTCCAAACCGTATCGACTGCCAGTTCCCAAACTGCCAACTAACCTGGCACTGCTGGGCTATGTTCGATAGGTCGTGACTGAAGCGGCAGAGGAGGCCACGATGGCATTGATTACGAAGGTAGTCAAAACATATTCCCTTCTCTTTGCTGTTGAAATGGACAATCGTCGCAAGGTCGTGCGAGTACTTGCATTTGTCTCCACGAGAGCAGACGCCTTTGGTGAAGTCAAAGCAAATTTGCGCCTTGCCCTCTTGCGTTGTTGCGCTCGTCTGTCGTGTGCCTTCGCTGGGACGCGCGGCATTCGCCCCAGGATAGGATTCCAGCAATGAGCTGCTGTCGACCTGGCAGTTTAAGTTGTCTGCAGCTGAACTGGATTCTGAGGAGCTGTAGTGGGTTGTAGCCTCAGCGGAGCTGAGAAGGTCTCCAGCCTTCCCAAGTAGGACTGACGGGTCAACAGGGCCGCCTCCCAAGCTTGCCTGCAAAGCAAATTATGTTCTTTGATTAACAAGCAAATGAGTTACAGCATGGCAGATTGCTTTTCGCGCCTGCCTAGAGTCCAACCATTTAAACTTAACCTTCCGCCAGGCGCGGGGTGCTTGGCAGAAACGCCCAAATTGCATACAGTGTTATCCCCTATTGGTAAATAAGACTACAGAACAGTAGATGCACGCGTCTTGGGATGCAACCTTTTGGTTGCGGGAAGCTATGCCTTCCCCCGAGACGAAAGGAGTACCAAATAACGGCAACAGGACAGCGACAGCAACACAACGACATACGCACACCCTGACCAGGTTTGCAGCTACACCTACCTCTTGGAAGCGTTGTGTGAGTTGCACCAGCGCAGGGTTGAACGCTCCGTCCATGTTAAAGCCGTTAAAGTCGGCGGCGGAGGGCCCCTTTCCGTCTGCAGCTGTAATATATAATACACAGAGATGAATAATCTCGTCAAGAATCCACAGCTAAGCCTTAGGCACCATTTTCAACGTTTCACTCTTGAATTTGAGGCAAGCAAATATGCCGTTACCGGCAGAAAACTGTTAACTGTGTAATCAGTAATTAAGGTACTTAGGGCTCTGTCATTAGAGCGCGAAGGGTGCTCAAACAAACAGCTTGACCAAAGTCGTACTTCACATATCGTACTTTTCTTTCGGGGGGGTGGGAAATCAGGTACCAGGTAAAAATTCAGGTGCACACTAGGGAAATTAAAGGAGAAAACCCATTCCACGAAGATCGTTCACAACTGCGTTTGACAGATGGTCGTTTGGTCTTGCAAGGCCGCGTTACACACAACGTTGCTTGTCATACTGTCAACCTGAGCTCAGCAAAAAGAGCAATTTATAATGTGCCTTGGCACATGTGAATTGTGCGCTGCAGGGGGCGCTCTGTCTTATTGGCCGCTGTCAGCGGTAGCCGAACCGCGCGTTAGTGCATTCCACTTTTGTCGTCAAGCTAAGAAGACCTTTGTGTTATGGATATTTTTCCATCCCGCGAGAAAGCCTGGCTGGAAGGATTTATAGCACGCTGTAGCGACCAGACCAAGCAAAGATAACCACCAAACTACATCTCCGTTATGCATTTCTAGCTACCTCTTCCTTCGAGTTGCTAACTGAACTGTTCGATTACTGGTTATCTCCAGTTGCTCATAGTTCACTATCCCCACTTTGCGTTGTTGCCTGTGCAAACTTTGTCTAGAATTGTCGGAACGTCAGGCGGCTACGCCAAACGTATTGCGTTGATTGCGTCTTGCCGCCACGGAGGATAACTACTCGACCCAGCACGGCTTCCTCAAACTGGTAAAGTGTCCACGCCGTCGGCGAACCTAGGCCTCAGCCTACCCTAACTGCCCTTTCAAGGTCCATAAGTAGGACAGACTGGTTCACTATGCATACGCTTACAGCTAATGGGAGGCGACGTCTTCACCTGTCGTGGCACAGTCCCGATGGGTTGCCTAACACACTTAACATGACGAGCCGTCGCCTACCTACATGCGAACAAGAAACATGTTAAAATTAACCATGCGCATACGACATTATGCAATTCCTGAATGACTTCAAAGGAACTGCTGCAAGCGAACCACAAGGCGACACAATACAACAATGTTTTTCCCGTCAAGTTCTTGTAGGTCATGACCCTCGTGCCACTCCTTAAGCAACGTGTCGCCTGCGATTGGCCTGCCGCTGTGGCCATGGTCCAACCCTGACTAGGAAACAGCAACATTGCCACAGGAGCTACCTTCGGCGTCAAGCGACTTCGGCTGCCGCGCCGTGGCCGCGCTGCGACCATCCTGCGCGCATCCCCACACCTCCCAAAGCGCCCTCAAACACAGCCGCAACCCTGCATAACGGACATTCCCGGTGCATTTGCTATGCGGGGCCACATGCCCAGACCTCCACACGCACCATGCCGTGCTGTCCTGTGCTGCGCTGCAGATCCTTGTCCTGCTCCAATACCCATCGCATGACAAGATAGAGGGAAGGATGGCATGCCGCTTGCCTGACGACTGCTGCACCCATCTGCTTATAAATCGCCTTCACATTGATGGCCCCCTGGTCACTTATTGATGATAGGTCCAACGGAGCACTCTGCCTGGCTTCCCGCGACCCGCGGTGGTTGACGAGTGGACACACGGTCGGGGCGTTGCACAGAACCGCTGCGCTGGATAACACAACGAATAGGTCTTGCACCAGCAACCTCGACAACAGACCAAAACAGCGGTAGGAGGGGGCCCCGAGCGCCACAGGTCAGCGGTATCACCCAGGTGGTGTGCGTGTGTGGGCCCAGCATGACCACCGGCTGCTGCTGCTACCGCGCTGGCTGCGGCAGCGGCGGGGGGGTCCACTGCAGCCGCGGCACCTGGGGGCACCTGAGGCCCGAGACTGGTCGCTCTGTGGGGCGGCCGGTCGTGGTGATGACGTTGCTCCTGCTGCTACAGCATCTGCTGGCGCCGGGAGCAGAAGCTGCTCCTACAAGGGCCAAGGTAAGGTGCAGTAGAAAAGGGGACCTGAAAATGGGGCTGCCCCTGAAGATGACATGGCACCGGCTATGTGTGCTGCCGTTATACAGCGCACGTACAGCGCTGCCTGACAGCAGATGATTCCGCATGCCCCGTAGGCGCCTCCCCCACCGCCGCTGCCTCCCCCGCCAGCGCCACGTCCACCCCGGGCTCCTGCAGGGAGCCGACCCAACTTCGTCGTCATCGTGACTGACGACCAGGTACGACGGAGTTGTAATTTAAGCACTTGGCGGGTGCTGTGTGTGGGCGGGCCGCCAGGGGGCAGGGCAGCTTTAATTTGGTGTTTCCGTGGCATGATGCAAAAAGGGGGGAGGTGTTGGGCGGAACACTGCTCAACGCGAAGGGGGAGAACAAGGGGGAGATCGCAATAGGCAGCGTAACTGGTTTTGTAAGTGCTTTATCCGCTCAGTGGTTTGTATGCATGCACGCATGTGTGAGGGGGTTGTGAGTCTGCTGGACGGTAGCCGGAGGATGTGTGATGACCTGATTGCGTCCCAAGCACTCTCAAACCGCTGTTGACAACCCTTCCTCCGCCCTGCAGCGTCTAATCCCCACAATCTCTGAACTCCCCGCAACCGTGCCCCCCTGAACCACTTGTCCATCGCGGCCGCCGCTGTCCTCACAGGATGAGGTCCTCAACTCCACCCACCCCGCCTACATGCCCGCACTCAGCTCACTGCTGGGCTCGGAGGGCACCCGCTTCGCCAACACCCTAGTCAGCACGTCCGTATGCTGCCCTGCGCGAGTGTCGCTGCTGACAGGCCGACTGGCGCACTGCACCAACGTGACCTCCAACTGGGCGCCCATGGGTGGGTCGGGATGTGGATGATGATGCGTACAGCGGCTAGCCGGGGGGCTGACAACTAGAGGATATAAAGGCTCTCGCTTGACACGCCGATGAAGGCAAGCGGGTTTTGAGGGGAGGAGGTGCTTTCTACCAGCACAGAAAGCTGTTCTCGGGTGAGGCATGTATGGATAGGGGCCTGGAGGAATGCGGGGACGGATTTCCGAATGGCGCATCGTGCCGATGCCAGTGGTAATCCCTGTACTGCCAACTCACGCGCCGCTGCAGGCGCCTGGAACAAGTTCATACGCCAGGGCCTGGACTCGGATTGGCTGCCGGGTTGGCTACGGGATGCCGGCTACCGAACGGCGCTGGTGGGAAAGCTGCTCAACGGTTTTTCGGTGAGGATCTGAAGTTGGGATGATGCGTGGATGGGCGCTGCGAAAGGAATACAAATGTGGGCGAACGTTGCGGGTGGGGACCACTGCGGTGCAGTGTGATATCATATCACACATCAGGCGTGACCTCGTCAGTACATTCCCTCCACAATCCTTTGCCGCTTCCGTCGAGTCCGTTAATAACAGTTTTTTTTTATTTTCTTCCAGATACCCCTGAACCAGCTGGAGCGCTGCCCGCTGGGCATCGACCACTTGGACGCGCTGACGGACGGCACGTACAACTTGTACAACTCCAGCTTCTCGCTCAATTGCGGTCCCAGTCAGGCCATGATGGGACAATACCAGACTGACGTCATCCGGGACAAGGCACTGGCCTACATTGAGTGAGTAGCTTAATGCCTGCGCCTGTGAGGAGACCCTTTTTTCCAGGCCCGGGTGGGCTTCCTGCTGCAGTCGCGGGATGGGAGGCCATGAGGGTGAAGGCGCGGGTAGGGGCGATGGGGAGAGGGGAACTTGAGGAATTCAAACACCGTAAATGCCTCGGACCCGGCCGCCACACCCTTGTTATGAAGTCCTGGGGCCTGAACTCGAAACGCCAAAAGCCGGGTACCGGAGATCTCAACAACAGCGTCGGGCAGGGGCGCGGTGTGCACCGCGCTCTCTATATCACACACACACACACACACATTGCCGTTCCTCCGCCGCAGGGGCGCCGTCGCCGCGGGGTCGCCCTTCTACCTGCAGCTGGATCCCGCCGCACCACACGTGGACAACGGTGGCGGTGAAGGCTGGCGACCCCCCCCGCCTGCGCAGCGCCATGCGGACCTCTACCCCGGCTTGGAGCTGCCGGACAACCCCACGTTCCTAAAAGTGAACCCACTCAATCCCTTTCGAACGCGGGACATGAACAAGTGGGTGCGCGCAGGCTGGCGCGGCGTGACAAGAGGGAAGGGGAGGGATGCAGGAGTGGGTAGATGGGTGGGTGGATAACTCGATGGGTGGCTTAGTTACATACATACAGGCAGGCAGGGAGGGAGGGAGGGAGGGCAGGAACGGGGGTGCTGTGCCGGAGTTGGTGTGAGCCATGTGCGTGTCGCCGTGCGCCATCAGCGTTGCCTTTCACGTGTACTGCCCGGTGCCGTACTCCAGGGCGAACAGCCGTCAAGGACACGTCTTCACAAGCACACCACCTGTCTTTGTGCTTGGGCCTTGGCTCGATCCCCACCCATCCCCACGCACAATCTCCCCACCCATCCACCCGCAGCCCCGAGAACGTAAAAGACGCGACGGATTTGTATGTGGGACGTATCAGGTCACTGAGAGCGGTTGATGAGATGGTGGGCGCAATAGGTGAGCCCTCTCCAGGATCGGGCCTTCTCCATTGCTGTAGCTCTGTTCTGCGGTGTCAATGGCTCTTCGCACGTTTAAGATGCTGCGGGGCTCACGGGGGGGGGATCTTGGAGCCGGCGTCCCGTTGCATTACCCCGGCTCTCACACGACACTTCAAGTTTGAGGAGGAAATCCGTCATAGACCCGCGCTTGGTTACTCTCGTCACCCCATGCCCGCGCCTCCCACGTCATCCACCCCAAATCTTATTATTGCAGTCGCCAAGCTATCCGACCTGGGCATCCTGGACAACACCTACGTCATCTACATGTCTGACAATGGCCTGGTGAGTGTAGGTGGCATGTTCTGGGGTAGTTGGGGTGCAGGGACGAAGGGATGAATCCGCATACGGGCAACCGGCTGCATTGCAGCTGGGCAAAAATGGGCTGTGGCCCGTAATCACAGCTCTGCTGATAACCAAAAATGTGTTGCACACAGCCCACGTGCCCATGTAGCCACTTTTTTCAAAATGTTTGTTTTCAAGAAGGCTGTTGCCTGTTTAGCTGTTGCGAACGCGTTCCGATTTTCACGTTGATGGGACGGGCCGCGTCCCGTGATAGTTCCGTGATAGGGTCGTGATGCGAGTATAGCTGTGTGGCTTGGGCATGAACGCGCATCCAAATGACACCCCAAGAATAACAACACACAAAGATTTCGGCTATGCAGGATTACGGGCGAGTCTACCCTGCGCTCACTACTGTGTCTCTTCAGTCCGATTACGGACACTTGGACACATGTCTTTTTAGGACACATTCGTAAACCTGGCTGGGTTCTGATTAGCTGCTTACCTAGACAACGGAAATGCTCCTTTAGTGTTCATGTTTTTAGGCCTTTTGGTGGTTATGGTGGGATAAGCGCTATTTGGCACAGGCGACGCATTGTTAGCGAAAACGTCGCGACTATCTGTTTTTATGGAACTATCGTCTCGTTGTCCGTCGCCATACGAAAACCATGCTTTAAGTAAGTTGGCGTTCAAAGTATTCATTCACATGCTGAAGGAAGTTTTGGAGGGGGCAGGCCGCTTTCACGTCAAGCAGCTTGTTAGCTGCTATGCACCCACGTTAGCTGCTATGCACACACACACACACACGTTGGCTGTGGTCACTAGGGCTTTCTGCCACGACTTGTCCCAAAGATTACTCATTTTTAAAACTAGGCAAAGTCGAATGAATTAAAATTTAAAAGTTTAAAGATGTCAGCCTGAAGGATATTTTGCAGGATATTTCACTACAGTCATCATAGTTTTCCAATTTGAAGGCACGATTTCTCAAATTTAATATGAGTTATAATTTAAACTTTTTTGTATAGATTATGTCATTTGTATAGTGATTTATTAAAGCGTACGACGGTTCCTTTTGTGGCTCGCCGCCCCGTCGGCTAGAGTCCACTTGATGCTGTAAACAAATGTTGTATTTTCACTACCTGCTGCCATGCTGGGCAATTATGTTACAAATTCATTATTGGAAATGTTGCCGCTCTGTTCCGCGTCCCGGCCCGGCCCGCGTCTCGGACGAGCACCGGATGTCCTTCCCGACGCCGCGTCACACATCCTGATGCCCATCCCTCTCCCTTAATCGTTATCTCTTCCCTTGCCCGTTACACAACGACAGCATATGGGGCAACACTCCCTGGACGACGGCAAGGTAGGCTGGGAAAATTAGGAGCCCGAGCGCAAGGGATTCAAAAAACCGACACACCTCAGATACATGGGCTAAGAATAATAGGAAGGGCGAACACGGAGGAGGAGGAGGAGTAGGGGCAGCAGGATGAACGGCATTTGCGAGGAAGCTGGCGCTGCAGGGCTGCGCGGTCTGGCACCGGATCCTTGAGGAAGCGTGAATCACCTGTGTGTGGGGTGGGGAACATATACAAGGAGGCCTGCCTAAGGCATATGGCGGCGGCACAAGGCCTGAGGAATCAAGCTGGCGTGCTCGCCCCCGCGCCCATAACTCTCATGTCCTGCCCCGGCCGCATGGCCCTCGTCGCTAGGTGCTGAGATGTATGTGCTCCGTGCTGCCGCCCGCTTGCCCAGCCGCAGGCCCTGCCGCTCTGCCCTACCCGTCGCCCCTTGCAGATTATTCCCGACCTGTCCGCCATCCCGATCCCCTTGCTTAGCCCTCGTTACCCGCCGTGGCTCCGTCTCCCTCCGCGCCTCAGGCCACCCCCATTGAGGAGGACAGCCGCGTGCCGCTGTACCTCCGAGGCCCCGGTGTCCCGGCAGGGGTGGTGAGCGCCTACCAAGCCAACCTCGTGGATTTTGCGCCCACCGTGAGGGCTCTGGCGGGTAGGTGGTAGGTGGAACACACCACCCTGCGAGCGAGTCTATATTATCGGGGACCCGTCTTCCCGCCTCCACACCACCCAGCTCAACTCCCACATGATAGACCTGCAGGCGGCAGGAGGCTGATGGCAGGCACCAGGAACCAGCACACCATGTGTGCCGTGTGCGTGCGCCGCTTAGATGCAATGCAATACCCGCGCCGCTTGGCTCAATTCCACATCCGCATCAGCCGCGATTAGAGACGTGGCCACCAGTGCCGCGGCCATATGCGTGAGGAGTTGATGGGTCCAGTAGCACAGCAGCCTGCTGTCGCCACGGCCCACGAACAAAACCTGACACCCATCCCACCGCCCTCCGCAGGTCTGCCGCCGCGACCTGACCTTGACGGCGTGCCGTTACCTATAGAAGGCCTGACGACGGATGCATACGATGCGGTCATGCGTCTGGCCGTCGCTGCGGCGGCGCAGCGAGCGGGGCTGCTGCCGCCGCTGCCACCTGGCCCGCCGGGCGCACCTCCGTCACCGCTGCCACCTCCGTCGCTGCCACGTCCGTCGCCACTGGCGTCGCCGCCGCCCAAACGACCACGAGCCAAGTTGGCACCGTCAATGCCCGTGGATGCAGGCGTCGCCCGAGTCCTGGGTACGACGATCTCAGCTGCGTTGTCAAGACCTTCGCCACGGCCATCATGGTCGGGGGCCGCGGTGACTCCGCCACCCGTGTTGAATAGCCGATCCCCACGGCCGCCGCCGCCGCCGCCGCCACTTCAAGGGAAAGTCCGACCGCTGGCGGCGGCCGCCACTTCATCATCATCATGGCCGCTTGAACGGCCGCCGGCGGCAACCTCACGTCCCTCGCACCCGCCAGCACTGTCTTCGCCGCCACCGCCTATCGGGCAGCCGCCAGCACAATCCCCTGTGCCGTCTCGACAACCGCCAGTGGTGGAAAATGTTCTCGACCCTTTGACCCCCTCGCCATCATCCCGTCCGCCGCCGCCATCTTTCCCACAATCTGTAGGATGGCCTGCGCCGCTGGTGTTTGAGACGCCCTCTCCACAACCTCAGCCTTTGGCAGTGCCCGAAGCACTTCCTGTCCCAGTACAGTTGCCGCCGTCAACCCAATCGCAACCTCTGGCACCTGAACCACCGCCACCATCGCCCCACCCCTCGCCACCATCGCCTCACCCCTCGCCACCATCGCCCCACCCCTCGCCACCATCGCCCCACCCCCGCCGCCATCTTTCCCACAATCTGTAGGATGGCCTGCGCCGCTGGTGTTTGAGACGCCCTCTCCACAACCTCAGCCTTTGGCAGTGCCCGAAGCACTTCCTGTCCCAGTACAGTTGCCGCCGTCAACCCAATCGCAACCTCTGGCACCTGAACCACCGCCACCATCGCCCCACCCCTCGCCACCATCGCCTCACCCCTCGCCACCATCGCCCCACCCCTCGCCACCATCGCCCCACCCCTCGCCACCATCGCCCCACCCCTCGCCACCATCGCCCCACCCCTCGCCGCCATCGCCCCAACCCTCGCCGCCATCGCCCCACCCCTCGCCACCATCGCCCCACCCCTCGCCGCCATCGCCCCACCCCTCGCTGCCAGCACCCCAGCCCTCGCCGCCATCGCCCCACCCCTCGCCGCCATCGCCCCACCCCTCGCCACCATCGCCCCACCCCTCGCCGCCATCACCCCAGCCCTCGCTACCAGCACCCCATCCTTCACCGCCATCGCCCCATCCTTCGCTACCAGCACCTCACCCCTCGCCGCCATCACCCCACCCCTCGCCACCATCGCCTCAACCACCGACAAGTGCACCTGCCTGGTTACGAGAAGCGTGAGTCAGGGGCTAGCGTACGCGGGAGGGCCATCACTCTTGCCTGCGGATCCCCATCTCTTGTTGGACCTGAAGTTCGCATCCTTAGCTGTGGTAGACATGGAGTCTATGCGTAAATGATTGTGTGCGAGGCCTGTGTCCGCCACTCTCTTTTTCGTCTTTGTTGTGGTCATTGTTCCGCCTCAGCTATATGCCCTCGTTGCATTAAATTGGGGCGCATCCTTCTATCTCATGTGTGTGTGCGTGCGTCTTTGCACCCACATCCGCACTCCGCCGCCGCCGCAGTGTCCTGCTGGAGGCCTGGGACAGCGATGCGAAGAGCGGCTTCTTCCCAGGGATCACCTTCAAGGCGCTTCGCCTGTGTAGCGCCTACCAGGCCAACCTCAAGGCACCGCCCTCGCCACCCAGCTCGCAGCGGCGGCCTCCGCCGCCAATGCAGCAATCGCCGAAGCGGTGGGTTCAGCCGCCGCCGTCGCCGTCACCGCCGCGGCAGCGGCCTCCGCTGCCGTTCCCGCCCTCGCCCTCGCCACAGCAGCCATCGCCGCCGTATCCGCCACCGTCGCCTCTGCGACAGCAGCCGGCGGCCAGCCGGCCCCCTGCGCTCATGGTGCGCAGACTTTGACGTCTGAAGTGTTTTTTACGTGCTGTAACACTGTCCTGCGCTGCGCTGTGCGGGCAAGTGGATAGGCAGGAGCCGCTTCCTCGCAGCCCCTTCGTGTAGAAGGCCAGCACCCTGTAGTCGCCCTGTGGTTCTATAGCGCGTGGTGATCCACGTCCTTTCTGCCCGCGCGGTCCTCTGGGGGAGAGGCCAACGGAGCGCTACGAATTGCGCTCCGTCGGCTTTTTACGCACGTTGATGTTTGCCTGCCCTCTTCGCCGTGCGCTGCATCGGCGCTCTTCCCCCTCACAGGTGCCGCAACCGCCTCACGGGCCAACGGTATATTGTCTCAAGTACATTGTGTGGTGCAAGGACAACGGACGAGAGCTGTACGACCTGTCACACGATCCATACGAGGCTGACAATGTTTTGGGTCAAGCCGCGCCAGCGCTTCTGAGCCGGCTGGATGCCGTATTGAGCGTGCTGGTGCACTGCCGCGGCGGCGATTGCGTACACCCGTACGGTGTACTGCACCCTGCTGGGGATGTGCTCACGTTTGCAGAGGTGAAAACTGCCGCAGATCTAGACTGAGGGGGAGCGAAGCACGTGGATAGCATCGTACGAGGGGGTTGGTTGGAAGGGTTTCAGTTGCCCCTGAGGTGCATGCAGAGGGATGGTGGTGCATGCCGTGCGCGTGTCGGGTGTCGTGCGATGTTCAGGCAGTACACGGGTGTGCATTTCTCCCCAGTGTGCCCCACGCGTGGGGCCCCGCCTCAAAAGACGCGAGGCCAAGATGCAGTACGCGGCCCAGCAACCCCCTCGCTCCCAAGTAGGCAGTCACACGACGTCATGCCCCTCCGCGCATGCACACGCGACCCGCCTGACCCATCTCCTTCAGACACGCCTCCTGCGAAACCCTCGGTCTCCATGACTCGCACACCGCCTCCCAGGCCGCCTAACCGCCTCCCTTCCTCTCCTTTCACCGCACGCTACGCTGTTCTCTACACACCCTCCCCGCATTCTCACAGGCGATGCACCCAAGCCACGACAAGCTGTACGCGTCACTGCCGCCTTTCGCCTTCGCCACCTGCTACCCTGGCTACGTACCTCCAAACGAGCGCACCTTCACTCTGGGCATGCGGGGGTTCCCAGCCAACGTCACATGGGAGTCGACGGGTATCACCTGGCCGCTGCCACCGGGCGTCAGGGGCATTAAGTGGACAGCTGGCGAGTCTTAGCCGGCGGGAGGACCTTCTCAACCTGGACGGAGCCGCCGCGTAGGCAGTTGTGTTGTGTTATTAACACTCTACTGACGCCTGCTTTGTTAGAGGATGTTATTATTGCAAATGACCTCGCTGGTTCGCGTTGAATGTGAGTCTGGCAGCTGGAGACGAGCTTAGCAAAGAGAGGCAGACCATACGTGTGGGTGTGTGCGGGTGGATGGGTGGATGTACGCATGATATTGGGTTTCGTGGCTTGTTTCACGCCTGAACCTACATGCATACGTTGCCGCTTTTTTTTGCTTTCATGTGCCTTACATTCATCCCTATTGCCTGTCCTCATCGTGGTGCAGTCATTTCGTCCGCACTGTTGGGGTGTTCGGCAATGACGGACAGCGCTGACTTGAAAATCCCCGTTAGTTTCCATGGGAGACTCCGGGATGGTGCCGGGGCCTCTGTTTTATTGGAATCGGCAAAGCGCCGGACCCCCTCGGGTTCTATTTCTGTTCTCAATTCCCCATGTATATGAGTGTATATCATATAAAAAATTTCAACAGGTTTTACCCCCCTCCTCCTGGTGTCCCCATGGCCAGTGGGGGTTCTTGAGCCTGGTCCCATTCGTCGTGTCGTGTCGTGTCGTGTATTGTGTGATTAGTACCTCACCTCCCGAATAGAACGTGCGAGAGAATACGTGCGCATATATTTGTAGCTTTCCACCTGCAATGTGTCTTTTTTATTCATTTAACCTGCGACGCTGGTTGCTTGCAGGGATATATAGTTGTTGCATTATAGTTGTTGCATTTTTATACATACGTGGATTACGGCAGTAGTGTCTAGTACTGCACTGCATTGCAATGCACTGATGATCCAGACCTGAGCGTGGATCTTGTTGAATTTAAACATCCCAGTAAATGCTTTTGCGCCGCCGCTTTAGCATCGGAGGATTCCCTAAAGAGGCCTACGTGGCGTCGCTCATGCGTATCTGGCGTTGGTGGTTTGTCTTCGTTCTTGGAATGCGGTAATAACCACGCGCACGGTGTCGTGATGACGATGGTGATAATGCGCGGTGCTGTGCGAATGGGCACATCGACTATTGCTGGGTTGTCCATTTTGGTGCTGCGCTGGTAATATGCGCCCAGGGGTTCCCAGGTAGCTCCTGCCCAACCCGCACAAGTACGGCAGGTACGGCGACACCCTGGGACGCAACACCCATGGCATAGTGTCCAAGGAAGTTCCACGAATCAGGCATTCATCCCTAGAAGCCTATAAAACGAGAAGACATTGCATTCTTATATTGCCTGCAAGTATGTTTTCATCTAGTCCGGCGAGGAGGAGGTCCAACGTTTGCTTTGTTGATGTTTTAGCAATTGTCTGAAAGCACGTGCTGCTTGCTGCACGTGCAAATATGACAGAATAGGCGGCTGCAGGAGCTGTGATTAAGGAAAGGCTGAGTGTTGTTGCCAATGGGAAAGGCAGAGGGAAGTCCTTGCCTGAGGGCGCCCGTGGTGGAGGGCACCCGGCTGGAGGATCTTTGATTTGGGAAGAACTGCACCGCACCACCACGGGCTGTTTGGCCTGCAGAGATGTCTTCTCGGGGTCGCGGACGGAGGCGGAGGTGCAGCAAGGTGGGTTTCCGGGCAGGGACCAGCACCGGTCGGTTGGGGAGGTCTGCGCCGTGTGGCATTGGGGTGTCCGGGTCATGTCCAGCGGCGTCCCGTTGTGTTGCAAGGTGTTTCGTGTTCTCAGGCTAAAACCCCGCCGGTACCGTTGTGGTTGCTGTTCGAAACCCATTCCCGCCAGGCTCCGTCTGGGGATTGGACGGTGTACTAATAATGAGCATCTTGTAAGCTTACGAATAATGAGAATCTTGTAGGCCTAGCAGCACACTGGTAGCATGCTACCGCAGCAATGACCCGTACGTAGCCGTACTCAACTCGCATCGGTCACCGCGAAAACGGACGTTGTGTCCGCGCATGGGCTGAGGGGCTGCGGGAAGTAGACTGTGCGTTTTGACTGCGAGGAACGGGCCACATCAGGCTCCTTATTAACTATCCCGACATCGCAGTACGGCAGGAGCCACCTGCAAAAGCAGCCGTAAACAGCGCAGGAAAGTGCGAGCGGCACTGGAGCTGAATATTTTGGTGCGCCGGGATAATCTGGCATTTTCTCTCTCCAACCCGATTCGTGGTTATTTTTCGGAAAATTGCGGACACGGCAGTTCCAGCTGCCCCACCCTGTGCATATCCTCTTGGGACGCATTAAGGCACGCAGCTGTCTAGCGGCCGCAGTGAATGCCAATCACCGATTGGATGGTCGTTGGTGTCGTACGTAACGGTGGGGCTGGCCTGCCACGTTGCTGCTGTACGACTTCAACTGTGCCGCATTCCGACAGTACCTTGTGGTGCAGCAGACTCCCTTTGGCGCAAGTTATGTAATATGAACGATGACCTGGTATAATCACGATGTAGATCACTATAACGGTGCGCAATATGGTAAAGGGTTAGATTTTCAATTATCATTCACGCATCTGGAGCGATCATTAAGAACGACGGCTTAAAGTTAGAACATATGAAGATATATATCCATTGGGAAGGCGATCGGCCGCTCACCAAGGTCCGCGAAATGCATGACCCGCGGGAGTCAAAACTATCTGTCGTTTAGCTTTTCCGTACAATGCTGCAGGTCATCAAAATTGGCGAGGGCAATTCTGTTTCAGACTTGCGGGATGCTTGCTGGGAAGCCCTAACGGCGTGGCATCCCGACATTGCAGCCAGCGGGCCTGGCACACTGCGGTTAACTGGCGCCAACCGTCGGCCTCTGTCTGTATCTTCTTGTATAGCTGACGTGCTGACCAACGGTGACGATGTGTTCTTCGAAGTTAGCGCATCGGCTGTCCAGGCTGCTAGATCGTCGGCCACACCGTCGTCACGGCAGTCCAACTCAGGAACTAGCCCTGGGCGCGCTGCCATGTGCGACGCACCTACCGCCGCTGCAGCTACCTCATCTGCCAAGGGTGGTATGCCAACGAGCGTTGCATCCCAACCGTTAGCAAGCGGGCAGATCGCCAGCCCGCAAGCTGACGAGGTCGCAGCCCCATCGTCACGGGCGGCTGTTCAGGCCGAAGGCCAACATCGAGCTATCCACGTAGCAGCTACTGAGCAAATACGGACGATAGGGGGTTCCACGCCTAGCGGGCCCAGCACAGGGCAGGCTACAAGCAATGACAGCAGCAGGACTTGCGAGGCTCTGGTACCGGTGGTGCGGGCGCTGTGGCTGCAGGCTGAGGAGCTAGTGGCTCAGCTGCACTACCGGGGTGCAGGGGATATCCTACAGCAGGTTGGTAAGGCCGGGGCTGGGTGACTTTGCCTAATATTCGACTTCGACTGGGATCCGGTGGCGGGGTTGTGCCATGGGACGCGGAGGAGGAGGAGGATCGTTGGCGCAGCGGAGCCTGGGATGTCCGTCTGGTCGGGGTCAGCGTAATGTGAAGGTATTGGTTGGGCGCACTTCGGGGTGCGCGAAGCCAGTGCAACACATCACGGTAAGGCTTCCCACGCGGCTCAGTCCTGCAGGCGGGCACGTTTCCTTGGCTGGGCAGCAGAGGGACAGCATTCCCTGGCAGATGTTTCCGTGCTGCCTTACCTTGAAGAAGAGTGAAATTCGCACCTGGCCGCGATGCACATGGCACCCTTAGTCTGGCGCCCAGCTCACTCCCGCAACCTCCTCCGGGCTTTTTCAGCCCATGCACTCGCCTGGTAATGCCCCCTGGCTCCCTGTTCACGTCCATGCCCGTGCTTCCGATTCCACGCAGGCACTGCTACTGGTTCCGGAGCCCACATCCCCGGCCCACGTCGCCACACTCGTGCGACTAGCCCGAATGTGGCTGTCAGCTGGCAACCCCAAAGCGGCCGTGTTGTGGGCGCTGAGGGCAGCGAAGCAAAGCCCTGGAGACCCGGAAGTTTTGGAACTGGCTGGGGATTGCCTGAGGTGGGCGGGTGAGGGCGGTGAAGCGCAGCAGAGTGCTAGGACATTCACGTCCTGATGCCTAATTGTACTCGGTTTCCGACTGCTGTGTTCTGTGCATTGCAACTTCTTCCCGCTTATGTACCAGAGAGGGTGGCCGACCGCGCGAGGCGGCGGCGCAATACCAGTCCGCGCTGGAGGCGCTCCAGGAGGGGAACGGCGAGGAGAACGGGGCAGTAAAAGGCACGACGGATCAGGTGCGTGTGCGCCGCAGCCGCGAGGTCGGCATTAGAGTGAGGTGCTAAGGCAGGCACGGCAGGCCGGCCGACGAGACTTTACAAACCGCAGCGGCAAGATCTGGTGGCGACGGAGGAGTTGATAGGGGGTTGCGCGCGGCTAGACATTGCCGGTCGGTTCTGGTAGGAAGGACGGCGGGCAGGACAGAGTGAGATGGGAGGTGGTTCACGTTTGGGTCGGGTTCGTAGGCAGCCCGGCTTCATTGCGCGCTGCAGTCGCGTTTCTTGCCGCCTGTTTTCCTTTCATCACGAGCATCGCGCCGCTGTCGTCCCGGCTGCCGCCGCCGGTGCAGGTGTCCGCCGCAAGCGGCGCGCTGTTGCGTCTCCGGTTGTCCCTCGCCGCCTGCCTGGCGGCCGTCCCTGGCAGCAGCATATCCCCCCCTTACAACAACCAGGACCTGGCGGCTTCGCTGGTCATGGCAGTTCTGGAGCGCGACCCGGGCCACTGGGAGGCGCTGCGGCTGTACGCGCGGATCGCTCTGGATCGGGGTCTGCGGGAGGATGCGCTCAAGGTGGCGTTGCGGCTGGTGGTGGGGCAACCCAAGCACCGTGGGGCCAAGGCGCTGCTGTCGGAATGCCTGCCGGTGGGAAGGGTTGGGGGTCGGGGCTAGAAGGTTCTGTTGGAGCTGGCCGGTGGATGGGTGTGGTTAAAGGAAAGAGCATCGTCGAAACAAACGGGACCCAGATGTGAACGGCGAAGCGCGAGTCCGTGGGGCAGGGAAATGTTTGACGTCGCAAGGCTATAGGAAGGGTATTCGTGCAGGGTTTAGCACGGGATGCGGCGCCTTACAACGGGAATTTCATGTGGGATTGGCCCGAAGGGGTGAGTGCGCGAGCGGCTGTCAGCGCATGGGAAGTCCAAGTGGGGTAACAGAGGTTGGAGGGGTTCGGGTAGCCAAGGCAGGGCAGGGCAACGCGGGAGCGGGCTGGCTTAAGGGGAATGAGCACATGGGACGCACCATGCTAAGAGGAATTTAAGGGTGTCGTACGTGGTGCCGGAGTGCATCATGTTATAGCAGGTTATTGTGAAGTGTTTTTGTTGGTGTTTGCGAAGCAGGCGGATCGCTGCTGAGCCCTTTCACACATGTGGCCGACATGCGGCGTGATGCAGCACGTGAAAAGAATCTTGGGTCCAGGCTGGCGCCCTGACGGTATTGGGTCGTCATCTTGATGCGCTGCGCAGGACGAGGCGAGCTGCCAGCCGCTCTATGACGAGCTGGGGATTGCGTTCCCGGTCCAGACGCCGCCAGAAGCGTCGGAGGCTGCGCCGAACGGCACTCTGAGCAGCAGCACCTGTAGCAGTAGCACTAATAACAGCAGCAGCACGGCAGCAGCGCTTGCGTTCGTGGCTACGGCCGTGAAGGACTTCGGCAAGGTATGGCGCGGATGGGGGCCCCTGGGTCAATGGATGCGTGGGAGATGAGCGGACGGCCCACACCAATGGTGTTGGTGGGCCATCCAATTGACTGACTGACCTGAGTCCGCACCATCTTCAACTGAAGTTGTCACGAACGCAAGGTATTGGGAACGCCAATAACAACGCACTGGTATACACTCGAAACCCCTGTGTGTGTTTTTTCCTTGCCGCATCCTGGACGTGGTGTTTCGGCAGGAGCTGTAAGCCAGGCTGTACTTTCTACCCGATCTCGCCTCCCTCTCTCCCTTCCAGGTGGATACCTGCATCGCCCTGCTGCAGCGTGCCGTACAACTGGACCCCGCCAACCCCAGCTATTGTCTTAACCTGGTGCATGCACTGGAGCTGCGCCAGGATCTGCAGGCGGCGCTGGACGCGGGCAGGAGCTACTGCCGCCATTGCGGCTCGCATCTCGCTGGGCGGCCGCTGCGGGTGGGTCCGCCCTGAAGTGCCGTGAGGCGCATGGGCGTGTGAGGGGGGGCCTGGCCGGTACGGGGCGGCACGGGCTGGTCGAGTTGAGTTTGCTAAACTGAGCTAGGGCCGCCGCCTATGCAAGCTAAAGGCGGCGGAATCCTATCCTATCCTATTGTGGACGCGGCATGTGCATCTTACAGAACTTGACGCAGAGTTGCTGTTTTCACGATTGTGGAAGCTTAAGGGCCTCAGGGACAGGTCTAAACCCGCCACGTGCCCCGAAGCAACCCCGAGACACACACAGTGCCACCAGGATGGGGGGCGCCGTGGCCTTGCCGCACGCGGCTTAGGGCGTCTTAGGGGACTTTTACCCCTTCAGCCGTAGGGCCCCCATGCCATTTGCATGTTCACCGTTACCTTAAAAAGCACCATGCTGGGAAGGCAGCTTGCACTTCACACCCTTCGTGGAGTCCTGTCCCGTGCATCCTGCGCCCCGTCTCAACCGTTTGCGACGCTGTCCGTGGACCCTCACCACATGCCAACCTCTGTCTTCTCTAACCTGGCCAGGATGTGGATGCCTTGTTGCCCAGCCTGCCGGAGCTGCGCAACCCGCTGCAGACGGTTTGGTACAGCTCGCAGCCGTTGTGGGGCTCGGCGGTATATGCGCAAGGGCATGGGCCTGACCCGCCTACGGAGAGAAAGGAAGGGTGCGGAGGCAATGACGTTGACGGAGATGGTGGCGGCGGAGGCAACGGGCCCTATGCTCCACAAGCCGGAGGGGTCCATCCTGGCCACACCGCAGGGGTTGCCGGTACTGCAGCCGCCGCCCACTCAGCACCGGCCAAGGCAAGGTGCATTGTGAGGAGAAGAGGTGCCTAGTAGATTTGAATTGGCCAGGAAGAGGAGAGGAGGAGGAGGAGGGGTCAAGGAAAGGCTGCAATGCATTTTTTGCGAAACGTCCATTCCTCTGTCCGCATCCTCAATGCAGTTCAGAGCGCCGCAGGGTTCCATTCTTCTGCATACTGGTGTCCTGCCCGCCTGCCGGGCGGCATGAGTGCTAACGCGCCATCTGCCTGTGGTGTCGTACAACAGGTATCGTACAGCTCAGATCAGTTGGACGAGCTGGCGCTGCTCTTTACACTTGCTAAGGTGCTGTTCGTGGGTGGAGCACTCACTGCGGCGGCCAGGTTGTGCGACCTTGTGGAGCCGATGCGCAGGTGGGTATCCAAAGCGTGGATCCGGAGATGCGGGGCGTGCCGTAGTAGCTGACGTCGACCGCAGTATGTGTGTGCGTGTGTGTGTGTGTCAATGCCTACCAAATTACGGAGTTGCGTCCCCTCCCGTATCCCTGCCGTTCTTGCCCGTCCCGCCCTTCCGCTCTCCCCACAGGGCCTCAGCCGTTGAGCTCCACACCACTCTCATACGCAACGAAGCAGCTTACTTCGGGTGTGTAATGCAGCTGCTCAAGGACTACCCGCCGCCGCCCGCGTGGCCAGCGCAGCTACCCCACACCCGCCTACCACCGCAGGCCGCTGCTGACACGTCCGCTGGTGCCGGCGGAGCCTCCGCGAGCGGTAGCAGCCCCTCGCCGTTGTACTTGTGTGGAGACTCCCATTGCCTATCTGGTAGGTCTTGCGCTGCTCGATGTGGTTTCGGAGCTGGTGGGGCTGCTGCGGACTTGGATTGTCCTCGGGCTGTTTGGTTGGATGTGATGAATAGGTGCCAGTCGATGGTCTGGCATGGCACCCGCAATAGGGCCAGCGACCTGGGAATACGGAAATGCATGGAGGCCAGGGCTGCCGCTTGGGGCACAAAACAGGTCGTGTGACTAGTTGAGCGCGAGGTGGGGTCCCCGGCGCATGAGCATGTCCGGCTGTCCATCCGGCCAGCCCACCGAACTGACTGAGCAGAGTTTTGTCGCGCCCGGTCAAGCATGACAGATTGCCACATCCTGGTTCTGTTCGGGTAACTGATACTGCCTGACCCGCCTGTCCTCCTCACTTCTTGACCCAACCCTTGTGCTTCCGTTTTGTGGGATGATCTGCCGTCCTGCCAACTCCGTACGGACCCATCGGCCGGCTGATCTGCAGCCGCATGGCGGCTGGTAAATTTGCGCGGACAGCAACGGCTACTACGGCCGCTGCTTGTCACGGGCTGCAAGGTGGGTTTGAGAGACGCGCCCCGCAAGGTTGCGTTCATCGTGCTCTTGACGCGCGCCATGACCGTCGCGTGGCCAAGCGCCGTTGCCCACCGGTGCGGTAGGGCCGAACCCGCGCGGCCGAGGATGCGGCCCTCTGTCTCAATTGCTTTGCGTTGTCCTGCCTTCCAGATCCAATGCCCTTTACTATCACACAACATGTGTCGGCCCACACCTAATGATAGGCTTACCTCATTACCCGGCCCGCTTTCACACCTCACACAGCACTGTCTGATCCCTCACTCCCCGCCACCTCACCCGCTTGGTCAGGTATGGCACCTGCGGCCCTCCAGCGAGTTCTATCCCAAAAAGCAATTCGAGGTCACCTTGCAACTTCTGCCGGATGGCGCACAGGTGAGGGACCGCATTGGGGGACGAAGGGCGGCTGGACAGGACAGGGGCAGATGGCTGTCCCAGCCAGCGGCCTCCCAAGACTTTAGACTCGTGTCCTGCTGCGCCATCTTAAGCACATAGCGTCAACGCTTGCCCACAGGGGGTTAACAAAACATGTGGAGAAGATCTGAATGGAGACGGTGATCTCTCCTTTCTCCTCGGCTTGCTGATCGCTTCTTGCTACTTCATGAATTTCGCTTTTTCAAAAAAGCGTTACCGAAGGCCCCAAGACACGCCCAATGCTGCCGTACCCTATCATACACCGTTTCTGGGCATTGGCACATTGTACGTGTGATTGCCCTTGCTCTCCGGCGCGTGCTGCAGGTGGTGTTGGTGCTGGGGGAGATCGACTGCCGGGAGGGGCTGCTGCTGGCGGTGCAGAAGGGCAAGGTGAGTCAGACGCGCTGGCCGGGAAGAACTGGCGGGCGCGTCCATATGTGCAGTATAGCAATGATTTGAGCTTTCGCACGTATTGTGCTGCTCCTCTGAGCTGGCTAATGGGCTTCTGAGCCCCTCGGACGACGGCTTTGCAGATCCATCCTTGTGTGCCTGATAAAAGAAGGTCCTATCAAAACGGATAGCGTAATCGAAGTCAGGAGACAATATACTTCCCGAAATGGTTCTTGAGGCAAGTTGCAAAGGTTGTCCACACAGCTTTGGGCTGGCGACTTTCTTTCCCTCACCTTGCCGCCAAGGGATGAGAACTCACTGACCCGGGAGCCATGTATCACGTCCGCATGCAGCATGCTTCATGCAGCCCATACTCTGCGTTCTGATGTTTGGGACCCCGTCGTGGACCGCACTCCTGCCATGCATCACAGTATGGCAGCATCGCCGAGGGCATCGACGCCACCGTGGCCATCTACATGGAGGTGCTTGGCCGCATGGTTTCGGAACGGTCCATGGAGGTATTCGTTCACCCTGTACCGCCTGTTCTAAACGAGACGCGTGGCGTCGTGACGCTCTTCACCGCTGCTCTCCGCAACGCGGTGACCGCCGCGCGGAATGCTAACCCGACGCTGCGGCAGCGGCTGCACTACCTGGACTTCTTCAACCAGCTGCTGGTGCCTCGTCGCAGCGCAGCTGGTGCCTCCGTGTGTGCCACTGGCAGCTCGAGCGAGCCTGGGGCCACTGGTGGCGCTGTGGGCGGTTTGTCTTCTTCATCCGATGAGGTGTCGCGCGAAGCGTTCGCAGATGGCAGACCGCGAGGCGAGGAGAATTCGGGTGCTGTGGCAGCGCGTGATGACGCTGACGGCAGTGGGACAGCGCACACGGGAGTTGTTGGGGGCGCTGCGGTAGAGGGGTCGGCAGCGGCGCCGGCGGCAGCAGCTGCCGCAGGGATGGGTCTGCGGCCGGACCTGGCATTTGACGGGACGCACTTGGCGCCCACATACGTAACAGAGCTGGATGCTGCGCTTTCGGGGGTGCCATGAGTGACGGGGCAGGCAAAGGAGCCGTTGCAACAACGAGCTGCATGCAGAGCTAGCTGAAGTTGCAAGGGCTTCACAGTAGGTCCCGCTGTTTGTGTTGCAGCAGGAAGGGCAGGCACGACCACCACTGCAATTTGCATTTTCTTTGCGCATCTTCACCTTGTGGTGAAGATACGTATACGGCAGTGAACACATCAGTTGTAAGCCGAACAAACCATGAACGATAACTGATCCACCTTCCATGTACGGCGATGCATGCGTTGCAATTGATCAGTTCATGTGGCCATCGAAAGTTGTGATATGCGGATTGTATAGCTTGCTCGCGAGCATATTGTACGGTGCGCAGGTGACTGGGGCCTTTTTTTATGTAACTGGCAACAACGATTGAGATTTTGACTCAGCATGATGGTCGTTGGCCGCGTGGAACTTGAGCCAAACAAAGGAAACCTGTACTTTCATTCGTTAACAAGTTTCCGGACTAGGGTATGTGCCATGCAAGGCGCGCTGCTAAGGTCAACTGCAGTAGTTGACAGTTATTTACACCGACGCTTCCGGACCAAGCATGGGTCCTTTGTATAGCAGTTAGGTCTGAGCGATGCTCTCATATCTTTACTATGTCGAGAGATGTGAAGTGTGACGCATGTGTTGTCGAGGTCTTTCTGAACATCAAAAGTTGAAGATGTCCTGGCACGGTACACCACGTTGTAAACTGTGTACAAGGTATTATATCAAATCATTTTTTTTATTCCGATAATTACACAATGTGCGCACATGAAGAGGGTCGTCCCTCCCTAAACTCTGTGACCGTTAAGAAACTGACAATCCGTACATGTACCTGGTTGCGAAAAACAGCGTCGTAACACCTGGAGCCCCTTTTACCGACTGACCGCTTCTTTTCGTCCTTAGCGCTGCTCCGCTTATGCGAAGTTGCCGGATCGGCGGGCGTCTTTTGAGTTTGCTGAGCCTTGTTACGGAGCAACGATCTGTGACTATAGAAAAGTTTATCTTTCAATATCCTTACACGATCCCTGGCGTGATCCGTTCCTGTCATATGGCATCAGCAAGCGCCGCCGCGCCCGAGGTGTGCCTCATAGCAATTACTCAAAGGAGCGACTACATGCTGGATCTAGCACATAAAAAGAGCTCTACTGTCCACATGTATGCAGGGCGCTAAGGAGAACCGCGCGCGTCGCGACCTGTTGCTCAGCATCCAGGGGCAGATACAAAAGCTGTGGGAGGAGGAGAAAATTTTCGAGGCCAATGCCCCGCTTGGTAAGCACACTGGACGGTCGGCTTAACGTTTCTCTCTTCTGATACCCAGCCGCGGAGAGGGGGTTTTGTTTCTACCTGGCGGGTTACCAAAACCCACCGCGCCAGGTTTCTGAATCTGTGATCTGTCCCAACAGCTTAGCGCCGCGTTCACCTGAGTTTCCTGCGCCCTCCGCCTCGTTTCACACGTCAGACGGTGACGCAAAGCTTCGCCCCAAGTTCTTTGGCAACTTCCCCTACCCCTACATGAATGGCCTGCTCCATCTGGGTCATGCGTTCTCGCTCTCGAAGGTCAGCACCGTCTGGAAACGGGGAGGATAAGGCGCTGACTGGTGCAACGATTGCGGATTAGGGTGTCGTGATGGGTGCTTGAGCTAGCACAGCAATGAGTGTTCCTCAATGGAGCGCAACATATTTGATGTATGCATGGTCCATAGCTGGGATAACTTTGTATGTATGCACGCATTCATGATGCATGGTTTGTCGTGCGGCAGGTGAAAATAGTATGGGACAAGGGCAGGGGGCCCCATGGTGAATAACAGTGGCGTAGCTTTGATCTGGGTCCCACCAAGACGAGTGTGCGGTGTATCGTGTCCATTGGTCGGCAGCTTCGGCCATCTATCCGTACCTGGAGGCTGACATGTCCCGAAATCCCCTCGCTGAGCAAACCCTTGCCGCTAGGGTGGCCAGCCGGGGCACGGGCATGCGGGTTGAGGTGCCGGGAAAGTTGGGCAGGCGATCTGCAGGCGAGCTACGTCGCTGTCTCAGCGGGTGATGGGTGCATGCACTACAGCAGCATGCGTAGCATACATAACTTACCCAGCTGCACATGGCCAGATGCGAAACAAGTGGGTCTAGGTTGCGCACGTACAGGGGGTTGCGGTGGGGTTCCATGCTCCATAACCCGTACTGTCCGTTCGCACCATTGACCCTTCACGAGCTGCGTGCTGCTCTGCTTGGTTATTCACTTGCGTCGCCATCGTGCAGCTGGAGTTCAAAGCGGCGTACGAGCGGCTGTCTGGCAAGAACGTGCTCTTCCCGCAGGCCTTCCACTGCACCGGCATGCCTATCAAGGTGACTAGGGTTCATGTCGGGGAGAGACCGGGCAGCCAAACACAGTGGGGGGAAAGGCGCTTACAGGTTATATGGCCCATGAGCTCAGCTCATGGGTGCTGGTGTTGACGGGGTGGGGATTGGGGCGCTGGTGCTCGCCAACACGCACCGACATCCGGTTGCGTCTCTGGGACAGATACAGGGGGAGGTTGCTAAGTGTGTTGATTGCCGGGGTCGGCCACGTACCCCACCTTGGCGCACGGCTTTCAGGAACGCTTTATGAAGGTAACAATATGGTGGTATTTACGCCACATGAGTAGGTTGTGCGCCCTTGGCCATGGCCCATGTGTCCTCTTTGCATTTAATTCTTATCCGCCTGTTTGCTTCCTGTTCATGGACCGGGCGGAGCCATTATGCATAACTCGGCGGTTCTGTCTTGGCCCTTGGCGCGAGATTAGGGGTGCGCTTCAATATGCCATCGTACCTCCTGCAGGCCTGTGCGGACAAGCTGGATCGGGAGCTGCGCACGTACGGCTGCCCACCTAACTTCCCCCGGGAGGACGCGATGGAGGAGGTGCGGTTCTGGGTTGGGAAGGCTTCGGACTCGGGTGAGAAGCGAAGCCTCTACTGGGCTACCTTGCCTCGCGTGGGTAGAATTGTGCATGTGCGCAATAGTAAATGGACTGCAAACGAGAGTGGCAGACAGGATAGAGGCGGGAGGGACGGTTTGAAGGACAGGGTTGAGGATGGTGGCATAGGTAGGCATCCTGAAAATACAGGTCGGTGACTGCACAAGGCTTAATGCTATATTAGGGGGTCTAAAGGGCTTTGGGACGGGGCAGGGACTTGGGGGAGAGTATGAAGTCGTAGGCTAAAGAGGATTTGAGGACGACTAGTTGCGTCTATGCGCGAGTAGCGCCAAATGTGGTTATTGGAGTCATGGTATGAGAGTTGTCGCGCTCGGGCGATGGCCGGCTAGCCTGGTAGCACACGCACGTGTATGCTAATGCCTGTGGCCACCGCAGGAGGCCGAGGCAGCCGCAGCAGCGCCTGCAGCTCCGGCCGGCGGGGAGGTGAAGGCCGACCCGACCAAATTCAGCGGCAAAAAGAGCAAGGCGGCCGCGAAGAAGGGGCCGGGCGCGTACCAGTACGACATCCTCAAGCTCAGCGGGATCCCGGAGGACCAGATTCCGGAGTTCAGGTGAATGGCCTTCCGGAAACCACGTAGTCGAGGAGCCGTTCCAGTGCCGGTCGTGTGTGTCGGACATACAGTGCAGCCTCGCGACTCGGCCCGCCGGGGTTTCCCGCCTTTCATTGGGTTGTCTGAGTCTTGTAACCCACACTGTACGTTGTACAGCTATTCGGGTAGTATAGTGAGCTTACGGCATCAGAAGGCCTATGGCCATCTCCGCAGAGTGCGGCACCGGACCTAATGCTGACCGGGACGCTTCTTGAGGCCCCTAGCGGCCGTCAAGTACCCCGGGAGATGTATATCTTGGCGGGGACCTCAATATACGTATCCTCGGTATTGAAGCACCATGTGACATCACACCTTTGTACCCTTGCGCTCTGTTTAGGGACTCGGGTCACTGGCTCAACTTCTTTCCTCCGCTGGCCCAGCGCGACATCACCGCCATGGGCTGCGGAGTGGACTGGCGTCGAGCTTTCATCACCACCGACGTCAACCCCTATTACGACTCGTTCGTGGCGTGGCAGTTCTGGACGCTGTATCGAGCGGGGAAGATCATTAAGGACAAAAGGTTAGAAAGCGCCTGCGTCGCAGTGCACAAATAGCTGGTAAAACTTGAGGTCGTCCGCCAGCGGCCTGCGTTTCACGCCACTGAGGGACCTTGCGCACTGTCCGCTCTGATGCGGGAGGCCATTTCTTAGGGTCGAACGCGGGTCCATAATTGTTTTCCCATGTAACTGGGGGAGCTACGGCTGCCTGAAGGGCGACCGGCGAACTGTGCTGCTGAACCTCGCAACGCCGTGCCATCGGTGTTCACGCCTTGCTGCATCAACACTGGACTATTGCTACTCGACTCCCCAACACTTCCACCAACTCGTGCTCGGCCCTTGTCCCTGCGGCTGTCGTGTACGCACGCGGTTGGCCGTAGGTACGCGGTGTACTCGCCGCTGGACGGGCAGCCGTGCGCGGACCACGACCGCGCCTCGGGCGAGGGTGTGGGGCCACAGGAGTACACGCTTATCAAGATGGAAGCAGTTGAGCTTAAGGGTGAGCGCGGGGAACTGTGGGGTGAAGTGCTCTGCAGGGAAATGGATGGCATAAGGGAGGACTAGGAGGTTCAAACTGTCTGTGGCTTGCCGGGCCGGCTGTTTGGCAAGTCTAGCGTGGGGATAGCGGCAGCCCACGGTAGAACGCGGCAGGTACTTGATTGCGATGGCAGAGGTGCTGCGGCATGGTATTGGTGAAACCCACGTCCAACAGGTTCGCGTTCCCCTCCTGTCCTTGCCAGCCTTGCGCTTAGTTGCCACCTCGGGCTAGCTTTCGCCCTTGCACCCCACGTCTTGAGACCCATCCCGTCGCGTCCTCACCTGCACCAGGCAAGCTGGAGGAGCTGGCTGGCAAGGGCCGCGTGTTCCTGCTGGCCGCCACGCTGCGCCCCGAAACCATGTATGGCCAGACTAACTGCTGGGTGCTACCGGAGGGCAAGTATGGCGCGTTCCGCGGTCTCAATGACGAGATCTGGATCTGCACGCAGCGCGCTATGCTCAACTTGTCATACCAGGTGTGTGCACGTGCCCGTCCAGGCTATGGCACGGGGCGACAGGTGGCGAAAGGCGGGTGTCGCGCCATCGCATGCTGCATATGAGCGGGGGAAGTGTGGCTGCCGCGCAGAAGTCAACATGGCTTCTTTTGCAAATGGGATCGGTTGGCAGGGCCGCAGCTTACGATGCCTATCCTGGCCCGGAGGTATCATGGACACGACTACTTCCATGCTCGGTCACACGCCTTCAGTCGCGTCAGCTTGCCTGCACTTTCCAATTTCCGCAATCTTCCTGCCGAGCCGTTGATTTCAACTGCGCTTGCCCGTTCTTTGCCAACTATATGCAGGAGCGCACTCCGGTTCGCGGGCAGCCGGAGCTGCTGCTGGAGCTGACTGGTCAGGACCTGATCGGCACCCCGGTCAGCTCGCCGCACTGCCCGCACCCCCACGTGTACGTGCTGCCACTGCTTACCATCCTCACCAACAAGGGCACGGGCGTGGTCACGTCGGTGCCCTCGGACTCGCCCGACGACTACACCGCCCTCATGGTAGGTAGGAACGCGGCGGGATGGGGATGGATGGATGGATGGATGGATGGATGGTTGAATGGATGGATGGATGGATGGATGGATGGATGGATGGATGGATGGATGGATGGTTGAATGGATGGTTGAATGGATGGTTGAATGGATGGATGGATGGATGGATGGATGGATGGTTGGATGGATGGATGGATGGATGGATGGATGGATGGATGGATGGATGGATGGTTGGATGGATGGATGGTTGGATGGATGGATGGATGGATGGATGGATGGATGGATGGATGGATGGATGGATGGATGGATGGATGGATGGATGGAAGTGACGCATACCTTGAGGCGACAGCGGTTTGGGACGTGATGAGGACGGACGACGGAAGGTGTGTGGGTAGGAACCGTGTCATAGACGAGGACGTCGTGAGGTGAGGTCGCGAGGTGGTTGTGGCGGCTTGCAATGCTGTGGAGCATAATCCTGCTCAGGGTCCCTTCTCAGCAGCCGACCCGCCATGTAGTTTGTTAATTATAAGTAACCGTTGTTTGTCCCCGGGCCGCTGTGGCGGCGGTGCTGTTCGACCGTCGGCAGGACCTGAAGAAGAAGCCCAAGCTGCGAGAGAAGTACGGCGTCCACGACGAGTGGGTCCTGCCCTTTGAGGTCATCCCAATTATTGACATCCCCGGCTTCGGAGACACCGCCGCCGTCAAGGTAGGACGCGGCTGTGCCGTCTGCTGTGTTTCCATGCAAACTTGCGTTTCGCCTGTTGCCGCTGGACGTCTTCTGCCGCTCTCTTACCTTCCTATTCCCGCCACGGCCGCTCCTGCATGGAGTTGGAGACCTATGGTTGGTTGCCCAATGTTGTCTTCATGACACACTTCTCCTGTCCCCTTCTTCCCCGCTTATGTGGCTATTTTTGTATTTGCGCTTTCATCCCCCCGACCCTCCTCGCCGTGCGTCAGGTGTGCGAGGACCTCAAAATCGGCAGCCAGAACGACACCGTTAAGCTGGCGGAGGCCAAGCAGATGGTCTACCTCAAGGTGCGGGTCTCTTGAGGGGAGACGCGTTACGGAGTCCTGTGCCATCCTACTCGTTTAAGCGCCTTCCGTGGCAGTGCACGCCTGTCTCTGACATCTTAGGATATGGTGTTGAGCTCTTAGGTTCCTGACGCTTCTGCATTGCATTGCGTGCGTACAGCTCGTAGCTGGGCACTTATTCTCCCGCTGAAACAAGCGCTGGCGAGCTAACTGCAGACAGTACGAGCTCGCAAGCCTTCAGGAGGAGGCAACTAAGGATGGGCACGGAAAACCTGTCCTGAACGTCTTGCCGCTCTCCGCGTTCTTTTCCTCGGTCCTTCCTCCCTTGTTCACCGCTCAGGGCTTCACGGACGGTGTGATGATTGTTGGCCCCTACTCGGGCCGCAAGGTGTCGGAGGTGAAGCCCATCATCCGCGAGGAGATGGTGGCGGCGGGGCGGGCCATGATGTACAGCGAGCCGGAGCGCCAGGTCATCAGCCGCAGCGGAGACGAGTGCGTGGTGGCGCTCACGGACCAATGGTGGGCACTGTGTGTGGAGGAACGGGGAAGTGGCGGTGAGAGGGGCGCCCACCGCTTCAGGCGATGGATGCAGGTCATGAACAAAGAAGGGGGCCAGTGTTGCAGGGGAATCTGCTTACTCCAGGTGCAGGTCGAATATTGTGCGGGGGGAGGTACGCGCAAACGGGGTACGAAGGCATAACGTTATCCATTACTTGTCAGGGCGCATTCAGTAGTGTTGAGAACGTTGAGAATGTCAACGACGCACGAGTGTCGCCGGTAGAAGGGCACGATACATTCACTTGTCAACCGTTGGTCGTGTAGCCCTGTAATTTCAGGTCCAGCCTGCCTATCATGTCGCATACGGAGCTGTCCTCCTGGTATTGTTAGCTACCCGTCCGCTAGGTGCCTTTCCGGGAAGTTGGCCTTACAGAGAATCTTGCTCCGCATGCTGACACCTGAACTTCTCGCTGTACATGCACGTGTAGGTACATGACCTACGGCGAGGAGGAATGGGCCACCGCCACCCGGGAGGCCCTTGCGCGCATTGAGACCTACAGCGATGACACCCGCGCGCAGTTCCAGCACTGTCTCGGTGGGTCACATGTTGGGTGGTTGGTTGGGCAGTTAGTGGAGCGCATGTCCTCTCCTCCTGCTACTTGTGCTTTCGCCTCCCATCTTGAGCTGGCCTCTGCCCATGCAACCCCATGCCCGTCGTTGTCGGTTTGCGACCCCTCGCAAAGCCACGCGCGGCTTTCAGGCGCTGGGGATATGTCCCTCTAACATTGTCCGTTTTTAGGTAATTTACAAGGTAGTACATAGAACATGATGACTTACGGAACTGCGCGGTCGTTGCCGCTCCGTTGTCCACGGTCACGCAAGTATCTGGCATTGCCTCCTTGACAGCGGTGCTGGCAGCCTGTCTACTTGCTTGCGCCACTCGGCGTGTTCACTGCCCCACCCCTCATCTTTCCTTTGGTAGCTTCACTCGGGTGTTGTCAGGGTCTGGGTGCTGTCCTATCTGCACAAACTCCACCGAGCCTCTCTCCCTTTTCAATTTTCCCTTTCCCCTCAGGCTGGCTGCAGCAGTGGGCTTGCAGTCGCTCCTTCGGCCTAGGCACCCGACTGCCCTGGGACCCGCAGTACCTTATCGAGTCGTTGTCCGATTCCACCATCTACATGGCCTACTACACGGTGGCGCACATCCTGCAGAAGGGGGACATGTACGGGACGGACCACAGCGGCATCACGCCCGAGCAGCTGACCCCCGAGGTGGGCCTCTGTGTGTGTGTGTATTTACGTGGCAAGGAGGCAGTGTCCACGTCCAGCTGTGCCTTTGCGCCCCTGCAAGTATAAGTGTTACGATTGAACATCGCTTACGTGGGAAAAGTGTGTGTGAACATACATATTAGAACATACTAGGGTTTGGCACCACTGGTAAGGCGCGACCATTGCCCCCGGGAGATCCCGGGATCGATACCCGTTAGGGTCAAAAGTCCTTCCGATGGTGGAAGGCATTGCGCCCCTAGTTGATGGACGGTGGTGACCTGGGATAAAGTTAACCTGCGAGCCGACCAGGAATGGAGTTGCGCCGCTGTCGACCCGGCAGATTCCGTTGGATGCTGGTGGTGGGTGCGGAACCTGAGCGATCCACTGAGAAGTTGACTAGGGTGACTGGATGAGGGTGCCCCGAAATACCGGGGAAGGCAGGGTTTCGCAGGGTAGCTGCCACGGGCGAAGATACAACCCCCTGTTTCACACATCATATTAGTATTATTTCACACTCTTAAGTGCTTTTGAGCATGGGCCCGGGGAGCTGACCACGCGAAGCGCGGATTAAGCTGGTGGGGATGCAGCACCGTAGAATGAATGGTATTCGCGCGTTTCCTGTGCCCATCTCACGTAGACGGGCCTGGGGGCGGGCGTCGGTCGGAATGGCCTGCGCGGTCGCGCTCTTTGTTCCATATCACAGTCCCCGACCCACGGGTCGTTGCTCTTCTGCCCAGGTGTGGGACTACATTTTCCTGGGCAAGGACGCGCCCAAGGACTGCTCCATCTCCCCCGACGCGCTGGCCATCATGCGCCGCGAGTTTGAGTATTGGTACCCTTTTGACCTTCGCGTCAGTGGCAAGGTGCGGTGCGGTATTGGTGCGAGTAAGCGAGGCAGCTTGTAAGTATGCACATATTCATCACACAGCAGGGCCGACCATTGCGGTTTGCCGAACGCCCATGAGATTTGGAACCTAGGGTGTTGCTACAGCACGTACGGCGGAAACTCATCCGCTACGCCTGGACCCTGGCTGTCGATCCCAAATGCATGTTACGAGGAGCTTCATAGTCCCAATGGCGTCATGTGCTGGCTGCGTTGACCTGGAGGGCTATATGGGGCTGCAAACCCGTTGGGGTTTCAAATGGAGCTTCCGGTGGAAACTCGCTCACCGCGTGTCCTTAACCTCATATCCCCGGAAACCAGCTTCACCGGCCCCTCTGGCAGCCCTCCGGCTTGCCCACTTACCTAGAACTCCTCCAGGCCCTTGCGTGGCCCCCAGAATATCACCGCATATTGTTGAGCGGAGGCTATCCTATGGGCCCTGTCAACTGCGTGCTTCCTTCCGCAGGATCTCATCCAAAATCACCTCACATTTGCGCTCTACAACCACACCGCCGTGTGGGCCTCTGACCCAGCCAAGTGGCCCCGGGCCATCCGCTGCAACGGCCACCTGCTGCTCAACAGTGAAAAGATGAGCAAAAGCACCGGGAACTTTAAGACGCTGCAGGAGGTGAGCGGGGCGGCGACCCGGACATTGCCACGCAGGGCATGAGGGCTGGGAGTGGAGCGCAAGTAAAGCGCGGCAGCTCTTACGTAGCTCGTGGGTCCTTGGGTTCCGCCACTTTTACACCACATAGCCAGGTCTTGAGTTGCATCTTTTCTCTCGAGTCCTCCTCCTCCTCAAGGAGGCCTTTCTTCTCGGCCCAACACTCACAGAGCACCACCTTTCTGCATCTGTGGGGTGGTGTGAACATACTTTTATTTGACTTTTACATGCCCCTCCCTCTGCACCTTCTCGATCCTGCTGCCCTCCCGGGTACACTATGAGTTCCCGCCCATCCGCCAACCGCGGCTACGTGCTCACGCGCCTACAGGCCATTCAGGAGTTCTCTGCGGACGCGATGCGGTGGGCACTGGCGGACGCAGGCGATGGCCTGGACGATGCAAACTTCGAGACCAACACCGCCAACGCGGCTATCCTGCGTCTCACCAGGGAGCTCACCTGGATTGAGGAGTGCCTGTCGCCCGCGTCGGGTGGGTTGGTGCATGGCTGATGGCACAGATAGTTACGCACGGCCGCAGCGTGTTGGCTGTTTATGTGCGCTCCTGGCTTGATCCCGACCCGAACTTAAATATACCTTTGGATCCCCAGTCAGCATAATCACCTGCGCAGAGGCGGCCGCTAGCTTCAGTGTTACTGCGAAGCTTCCCCAATCTTTCTGCCGTACACGTGGGTGTGTACGCAGACTACTGCGTACTCGTCCATATCCCCGCGTTGCAACTGTTACAATAGAAGCGACCGCTCTCGTTCCACTGCGTATGCCTCGCCGCTTAAGGGGCCATCATCCCCCGAGCACGATTGTATGGCGTCCCTTGGTATGTGCCTGCCATTTTTCCTCTCCGCTTCCCGCAGGTCTGCGTGAAGGTCCTTCCGACGTGCTGCTGGCGGATCGAGTATTCAGCAACGCCATTAATGTGGCCATCGCTGCCACCAAGGACGCCTACGAGCGCATGGCCTTCCGCGAGGCGCTCAAGGCCGCAGCGTATGACCTTGGTAACGCGCGCGACATTTACAGGTGCGGCAAGGCAGTTGGGGCCGGCGGGCTGGGTCGTGGGTTATGCCTTGCTGGGTGGGGTGTGCGTGGAGCTCTGGGGGCGGTCCTCGTGGGAATTCGGCGCAGCACGCAGCCATTCCCCCGGATCTCGCTCCCAGCGCGCACCACTGACCACAACCCTGGTCGGCTTCTTTGCCCTCACCCTCCTGGTCACCCACAGGCTGGCGTGCGGTCCTGACGGCATGCACCGGGGTCTGGTGATGCGCTTCATTGAGGTGTCGACGCTGCTGTTGCTGCCCTTCGCCCCACACACGGCGGAGCACATTTGGTAGGCCCCGGTTTGCTTGCTGGTGGGCTCCGGTGCTATATACCCTATGCCGCCTCGGTAGTGCATTGTGGTTACACCGTTACCGAGCTGAAGAGGCGGTGGTAATGGCAATAGCTGTCCTTAAGGCCGAGGTGGGATTTCCAATAAAGTACTAGAGCCTTGGCAGCTGGCTTGTTGGGGTGCTTGGAGTAATGTGGGGGTAAGGCTCCCCGAACCCTCATGGTGGAGCGTGATTCCCTGTTCCGGACATGACGAGAAGCATCAGACCCAACTCCTGATGATTAGCCGCTCAGCTGTCGTATGCCATTTTGGTGTATAACTGGCAGCCACCGTCTGGTGCCCACCTCACCATTCCGCCAGGCGCCACATGCTGAAGCGCGAAGGCGCGGCAGTCACGGCGGGCTTCCCCGTAGGTGCCCCGCCGGACACCATTCTGCAACGCGCGGCAGCCTACGTCGAGGACCTCATCCCCTCGCTGCGGAAGGCCATCGCCAAGGCGGAGGCACCGCCGAAGAAGAAGGGTCCATCTGCGGCGGTGAGCCGGAACGGTGCACCTGTGGCAGCTGCAAAACTGCAGACGCAGAAGGGATTCTGGTTGAAGCTGGATGGGAGGGTCCGTCTCACTCACACCGCATTACCACGTACCACATCTGGCCCTGACGTCAGTGGCTGTTTTTCGTTACTTTTGCGGGTTACAGAAGTTCGCAGCCATTGCATGCATTTACGCATGTCACAGCAGCAGGTATTTGGAGGTTACCTGCTTTCCGCGTCAGCCTGAATTCAGCGTCCATTGTCTGTGCCCGCCTGCTCTGCCCTGTCCCGCGCTGCCGCAGCCCCCTCCCCGTGTGGTTGCGGCGCATGTCTTCGTTTCGGAGCGATTCATCGGGTGGCAGGAGCGGGTGCTGGGAGCGCTGGCGCCACGATTCGACGCCAAGTCGCGCACCTTTGCCGAAGACGCGACGGCAGCCGTGCTGGAGGCGGCGAAGCAGGTGCGGTGCACCGTACAGGAGCAGGCGCTGGGATAAGGGTGGGCAGGGGGCACTCTTAAGCATGCAGCCTTTGGTTGATCTGCCTGCTTTTGTCAACCTAACCTGCTATAGGCGCCTGCGATTACACCGCCGTCCTGGGCCTCTTCGCAAAGAAGAACCTGGTCCGCTTGTTCCTTGATTTCGTTTCCCTCAGGACCCTGTTTTCTCCTCCCTCGGGGAAAAGCAGCTCAAGCAGGCGGTGATGCCCTTTACAAAGTACAAGATGGAGGAGGCCATCGCGGCGGGGCCACAGGTGCGTGTGTGGGCGCGCATCGACCGCGAGTGCTGCACGCAAGGGCCGACACGTGCTTCACTTCGCTGTGCTGGCTGGCTGATGGGTGTAAGGTTGCTGGCGGCATATGCGATTGCGTCTAGCATTCGTCTTGACGAGGTGGCCACGCATGCGAAATGCAGGGGCTTCCTGCAACCGTCGTTGCATTGCAACACACCTCCCAGATGCATACACGTTTATTCCTGCAGTGCCATCTCATGGTCGTGTTTGACGACAACATATGCTCACAGGCTCAGACCCTGTCGATCCACCTGCTATAGCTGACATCTGCAAGAGGCCTACATGGCGCACTGAACCTTACCTTATTGGCTGGGAAATGTTACTTCTGTCAGAAGAGTGTCGTGCAGAGGATTGCGCGTTCCAGCTTTTTCCCTGCGACGCATGCCCGCGTGGGGCATGGAGTGAGACCATGGTGCATGTGTGTGCCTGTTGGTGTAAATTCTCCCAACAGGTTCTTGACGTGAAGCTGCCGTTCTCGGAAGTATCAATCATCAACGACTCAATGGCGTACCTGCTGCGGTCGCTCAAGCTGGATGCGCTCCATGTGCACCTGGTAACAGATGCGGGGGTCAGCGAGATAGCCGCTGGTGTGAAGGCTGACGTCAAGGGGGCGTACCCCGCCAGCCCGGTCTTTGGTTTCGTGACGGCTGCCGCAGACGAAGCAGCGGCGCAGTGAGAGGGGCATATGCATAGGCAAAAGCACATGCTCGGGATGCCGCGCAGCTGAAGGTGAAGAGGCGGGAATCGGGGAATTCTGTTGTGGGAGGGCGGGGCCCGTGCAGGATGATTATCTTTGTGTGATAGGGGTGAGGTATATGCTGTGTGCTTATGCAGGTGACAGGGATAGTATGAAGAGAGCGAGCTGTAGGCTGTGTACGCATAGGCGAGCGAATAGTCCATGTGAGGAGATGTTTTGGGCCGGTTCGGCTGTTGTGTGACAATCGTGACGTGATTTCCTGAGCTAGATGACCTCATGTAACGCTGACAGATCGTATACGACGAAAGCCTAATTGGGATGAGGTGTCTATGACGACAGGAAATATTTGGGCCTCTTATGGTATGGGCATACATGCACATATGATAAACAGGGTATTGGAAAGCTGCAGGCAATGGTAAGGTATGGGTTTAAGATGACTGTTTTTGGCTACTTCCGTTTAGTACACTCTGCTTTCTTTCTAATTCTAGTTGGTATGGAAGTTTACAAGTTGGCGTTACCGTGTTGCTATGACAAAGTGCCGCAGCAGACGATTCGTTAGTCGGTGTCACACATGGGCAAACGCACATGTGCAAACGGGCATTTCGGATTGTACCGAAACTCCCGAAAACAGAAGTACAGATCCCGAAGCCAACCCAATCGCATGGAATCACCCGCCGTAAAAACGGGTTTTCTTACCACGGCCTCGTAACAGGAAGTAGACGGACAAGACAGAAGTGTTCCCGTTTCCGATACCAGACGTGGGCACCTTTGTAGTACCGATTTAGTATCTGGTCGCATCGTACTGAACGGTATTACCGGTAGCATATACCAACGCAGTTTTTTGATATTACAATGCCGCTACATAATATGTAAGAATACGTGTTAAGATACAACGACAACATTTCAACAATCCTCTTGTATAGGCAACATCCTTGCACAAGTGAAACCCTAGCTACATTAGGTACAACCACCTCCACAATCATGTCGCACGACGCCACATAAAATGCAACACCTATACTATTCCTCCTCCTCCATCACACATGTCGTACATTCAGGTTCAGGTTCTCAACGTTTGATCGACATTACCCTGACGATAACCCTGAATTCAAGCCGCATACTCCTCCTGGCAACGAACAACGAACAACTCGCGAGTACTGTCATCCGAAGCCTCTCCCTCCCCTGCCTAAGCCCCCCTACCAGTTACCGTATAGCACACAACAATCTCCTCCACCGTCTTCTCCAATCTTCTCCACCGTCACTGCTGCTCCTGCTGTTGGCGTCGCGCCGCCATGATTTCCTCAGTGCTGGTGTACGGCACCACTGGCGCGTCCGGTCCCGCGGGAGCAGCTGCCTCGCCGCGCTCACCTTTCCCCTCCCCACCGCCACCACCCAACACCTTCTCCAACACTCCCGTAATGCCACCCATCACCCGACCCAGGCCCTCGCTCATATCCTCCGCCGCCACCCCCGGCGCGATATCCGAAGCGTGACTGTCACCGCCGTTGTCGCCCGTCCGCTCGAACAGCGTTCCGCTGTCGTCGCCGCCACCGCCCTGCTGGTGCTGACCACGGTCCGCCTGCTCGCCGCGGTTTGCCCCGACCTCCTCCCGCCCGAGCTGTTGCCGCATGCCGCCATCCTCCGACGTCGCCTTATCACCATCATCTTCGCCCACGAACAGTTCGCGCAGAGCTCCCAGCACACCACCTGCCGGGGGGGACAGGTGCACCACGAGGGCACATCATTTGACGACTCGACATCATTTGACGCTAGAAACGCAGAAACGAAGGTCCAGTTGGTTTCCGTCGACTTTTTGGCACTAGAACCATTTTAGCAACACAACATAACGACGTTTCGATTCAGCCAGCCAACCCGGCTGCACGGACTTCACACACCTACTTCACCTGCCCAGCACCCCTTGCTGCTAAGATGCTGTTGCTTCCTGCAGTCCATCCTCCCCCTCTAAATTGCAGAATTCCCTCCCTACCTGCACCCTCGCGCGCCTGCTCGGTCGCCTCCTCCACCCGCTCCACGCCCCGCTCCGTCGCCTCGCTCATGCTGTCAGCAGTCTGACGGGCCGTGGAACCCACCACACGCATAGCGCCCTCCACGCGCTGCCCCACGTCCTCACGCGCCGCTCGTGCGGCTGCCTCACGATCGCGCTCTTGCCGCTCCTGCCCTCCCCCCTCACCTCCCACATGCGATCTTGGCTGCTGGTCGTCCTGGTAGTAGAGCTCCCCGATGGCACGAGGAGCATCCGAACATCCCCTGATGTGTTGTTGCTGTTGTTGCTGCGGCTCCTCGTGGCGGGTTTCGGAGCTCTTGGTGCCGCCTACCAGGTCGCGTAGACCCTGACGAATGGTCCCCAGGAGGCCGCCTGCATGGAGCCATATATATACATATATATGTATGTATATACGTATATGTATGTATGTATATATATACGTATATATGTATGGTCCACGTGTGTTACCCCGGCGGCGCGTACCAGCACCACGTGTGGCACACAGGGGGATATGCAGCGGAGAAGAGGGGGGAATTTGGAAGGGGGGAGCAGTTCTAACAATTCTTACGCGCTGTACGTTTTGCGTGTCCAGGCGGGGATTATAGCTATTACAAGCGTGTGCGCCACACACACACATACATACATACATACATACATACATACATACATACATACATACATACATACATACATACATACATACATACATACATACATACATACATACATACATACATACATACATACATACATACATACATACATACATACATACATACATACATACATACATACATACATACATACATACATACATACATACATACATACATACATACATACATACATACATACATACATACATACATACATACATACATACATACATACATACATACATACATACATACATACATACATACATACATACATACATACATACATACATACATACATACATACATACATACATACATACATACATACATACATACATACATACATACATACATACATACATACATACATACATACATACATACATACATACGTGGACCGCCGCGATGCTGTGCTGCACAGAGTCGCCCGACAGATACATCGCCCGACGTGACCCTTCTCACTAAACGCTGACAAGCCCTGAAACCGAACAACAACGTGGTAAGGACGCGGTAAGGGGATACGCTACGCCTACATCGTTTCAGTGTGATGCAGCTCTCTGAACGTACCTGCAGCTCGACTAGCCTCCTCGCCAGCCACCACCGCCGCACCGCCAGCAGCACCCGCTGCGCGGTTTACCTCCTGTCCCGCAACCTCCGCTGCGCCGCGTACAGCGCCCGCCGTTCCGCCCGCCACACGACGCACCTCCTCGCCCGCCACTGCCGCCGCGCCACTTACGGTCCCCATGGCGCGATCGATTTCCTGCCCCGCCACCTCCGCCGCGCCGCGAACCGCTCCGACAGCCCTTTCCGCAGGCTCCCGCACCCGCCCGGGTTGCACCTGCCTCGCCTCTGCACCCACCTCGCCCTCTTGCTTGCCAGCGCTGGCGGTAGGACGGCTGCGGTCGATGTTGGACTGTACGACCTCCGCCGCGTGCCAGGCCTCGGCGCTGTGCGGGTCGCGGTACGCCTCCTGGGCCTCGGGCCGCTCCGGAACACCGCCTGCGCGAAGCACCGGGGCACAGCAGGCAGAGTGGAAGCAGCTCCTTTTCTGGTTCCTCAGAACAGGATGGTAGACAGGACTGGAGGCGATCGACCGGGCATGAGGCGGTCTGCAGGACGCGGCTGAGGGGGGGGGGCCCTGGGAAGGGAACAAGTGTGGTAGCCCGCCCTTGGCCTACAGTTCAGCTGTGGCGCGGGACCATGTGGCGTTGCGTTGCGTTGCGTTGCAAGAACAAACGCAAGAGAAAGAAAACCGGAGGGAAGACTCAACATGACGAACAACGCCCGAAATTTTGGTACAAAGGTCTCTTACAGCTCAAATGTTAAGAGAATCGTAAAACCCCCCCTACCACTCCCACCCCCACTCCCACTCCCACCCACCCCGTGTGCTCAGGGCCCCGCGAGCTCCCCCCCGCCTCTCCTCCTCCTCCACTCGCTCGGTAAGCCCCTCGAGGCCCTTGGCTGCCGTACGGCCGTGAGCTGCCGTATCTTCGGCCATAGAGCGAATGGCGGCCTTTGTCCCCTCCAACAGAGGGCCCTGGCCTGGTGGTGGTGGCGGGGGAGTAGAGGGGAAGGGGGGTGAGTTACGGGCGATTGGGGGTCCCAAGAGGAACAGGGAATGGGAAGTTCTCATGTACATTTGAAGTGGGACAACCAAACGTGACAATCAACCCTGTCCCCTCGTAAGACAAGGTTTTTTGCTGAAGGGGAATGATAAATTTTATGGCGCTTACCAGCATCCCTATCGCAAGCGGCAGATGGTGGTAACACAAAATAAAAAAAAACACAAAGAAGGGCCACGCGTGCAGGGAAGGGCACCCGGCGGACATCCAAACGCGTTGCCGACCATAACCATCAACATACACGAGGGGGGAATATTCATCAACCCTCTCCCCCCCCCGTTACCCGCATGGGGAGCTCGCTCCTCCAGGAAGCCCTGGTTGTTGCCGCTCCGCTCTCCGCGGCTCGTATCCACGCGACTACGCTCCACCTGCTGTACGGTAGCTGGCAGCTTCGCAGTGTCGTACTCGCGATCGTGCGCCATTGCGCCCAAGGGATCGTACGGTTCACCTGTGAATTCGGTAACCTGGTACTTAGCTTCCTTGTGTTATATAGCGGGGAGGGAAACGAAACACCACCACGTCCTAGTCAGCGTAGTCGTCCCAAGCCGATACCCGTGGCCGCGTGGGTTTAATGCGGGAATCCACCTCTCCCGCGTGGTAGGTTTTCAACTTCCCGACCCCTTTTCCCCTGCCTCTCCACTATCCCTGGCCAGGACTTACCCTTGGCCTCCTTCTCCCTGACGTACTCGTTGTACGACCGCGCCATCTCCCGCGCATTGGAGTCGTCCGTGGACGCGTCCTTGCTCCAGGGGTAGAGCAACTTGTCAAGGAGGGTGTCGCGCTTCAGCGCGGGGTCCACAGGCTGCCGGTAGAGGGGGAGGGGGGTGTTGGAAATGATCGACACTCATAAACCAGGCAATGGTAACCACACCGTAATAGGACCCGGGGGGGGGTCCGTGGCGCTTTGTTGGTTTTAACAGGGGGGTGCAACAGGTGCGGGTGTGTGCAGAACCAGTACTACGTCAAATAGATCCTAGGAATAAGGGTTATAGCTATCTGCATAGCATTTAAAAGATGATTACAGCACCACAGTGGGCGCCTTCTCTACGGCCCCCGGACTGAGAAGCCTATTCCTGGGAATCTGGGATGGAGCTGTGGATGGAGGAGTGTCAGGCTTTCCTCCCCCCGCCCGCGGGAGAAAAAAGGTACGAACAGCCCACCTGATCCATTTGGTCAAGCCGCCGCTGCCGTACAGCACTGCTGGGGGCCCCAGGTGAGGGGTCCTGCTCGTACACCACCTCCCGCTCCTCCTGGCGCTGGGCCGCCTCCGCCATTTGCTCGTCCAGCGTCTTGTTGTAGTCCCCCAGACCTGAAGTGACAGTTCCCCCCGCCCCCCAAACACACGCGCACACACATACCCCCACACGCGCGGGGTCGGGCGGATACAGTACGATACGTAATGCTGCCACTACGTAGGGAGCTATGTAGCTCGTCTTCAGGAGCCGCTTTCTTTTCGCGCACCGAGCCATCTTGCGCCGCCCGACGCCACTCGGGGTGCGGCTGCAGCGCCCCTTTCCCCCTAACTCCTCGTACCGCTTCGCACCACCTGCGCCACCGCCGCCGCAGCCGACCCCGCCGCCTCGCTCAAGTGCTCCAACACGCCCACCACACTCTCCTCCGTACGACCCGCAATGTCAGCTCCCAGCTCGGGGGCCTTACGAGATCGATTTTCATATCGACCATCGGGGCGGGCAAGAGGGGGGAATGAATGAACGAACGTACTTTTTCCCAGGTGGGAGGGGAGCGAAAGCGAACGCGACGGCTGCAACGTTGCTGACACAAGGCGCCGTGCCGACGTCCTCCTGCGCCGGCTCCGGCGTATCACGCTCCCTCCCTTGACATCAGGATGGGATCAGGACTACACCGTACTACGACATCACACCGGAACCCCTACCAACATCGCATCGCAGGTCAGGTGGTCAAGCAGTCAGTCAGCACCAGCTCCTCTCTACCTGGGCCCTATCAGGGGCCCGTGGGCTAACTCATGAGGATGATGATGATGATGAGGAGGAGGAGGAGGAGGGGGGGGGACAGCCCCTCGGTCACCACCTTGTTACCTTTTCCACCGTGTCCTTGATCTTGTCCCCCAGCAGGATGAAGGGCGCCTCCCGACCCCCCGGGGTGTCGTGGCCCATGGGCGGGACCCCCTCGTAATGCTCGCCTGGGGGGGGGAGATGGGGGGAGAGTGTGTGCGTTTTTGTGTTTCATTTAAGCGCGTGTTAATTTGGATTCAGGGTGAGGAACCGCACAGGGGCGTGGCTCCCAACTTTCTCCCCCACACACACCTCCTCCCATTCCTCCCAACAGAAGTGTCACTCGACATCAAACTTATGGACATCAAGTTTTGACGGGCAAAAAGGTTCGGTCATTAGGAAGGGTGCGGGGTCGTACCTGTGACAGCCTTGTGAATCGCCCGGCCGGCGGTGTCGAACAGAGTGGGATTGTCCGTTGCGGTGGTTGCCTGTTGTCGAGAAGCACGAAACAAAAGTGCAAAACTAAGCAGGAAACGTATTAAGAGTATAAAACGAAACGCACGTGTCTCGGCATACGAATCTCTTATCCACTCCCCCAAACTCCCCCAAACTCCCCCAAACTACCCCAAACTACCCCAAACTACCCCAAACTACCCCAAACTACCCTAACTACGCCTTACGCCCCCCACCGGCACATTTGCTCACACAGACACACAGACGCACAGACACACAGACGCACACACACAGACACACACACAGACAGACAGACGAACCTGTCCGGCCTCCCGGTCCTTGTTCCGATCCCAGTTGAAGTTAGCACCCTGCAGTATGCCGTACAATCCGTACAATCCGTTAGCACGGAACTAACTGCGTTACATGTCACGTGGTCCGACGCAGTACAGTACGACACCTCCGCTGTCAACCACCACCTGCCTTCCGTACTTCCCTTCCTTACATGCACCAAGCCACCTCCCGCGGGACTCCCCCCCCTCCCCGCCCCCCCCCCCGGCGCCCACCTGGATGTGCATGATCTTGCTGTGGGGCTCCTGATACACCTGTTGCGTGTGCGTGTGCGTGTGCGCGTGTGTGGGGTGTATAGCGGGGCGGTTGTGCGTTGTTTTGGGAAAGGGAACTGGGGAAAGCTTCCGCGGGGTGGTTTACACGTCGACTACTAGTGTGCGCTAGGAAAGGAAAGGGGGCCCCTAGCATCCCCCTTCCTACCCTCATCCCCTCCCGAGATACCGACGGTCGTGGTGCAGAAGGGCATGGGCGCAGTGCAGGTCACCCTCCCCCCGTCCCCGCCCCCGCCCTGCCCCCCTCACACACACACACACACCTTCAGGTACTGCGCGTCCTTGATTTCCCTCCCCGAGGGTTCCTTGGCCTGCAGCCGCCCGGCCGGAGGGTGGGGGTGGGGCGGGGGTTAAGAGGGGACGGCAAGTTAGGTGGGGTGGACTCGGGGATGATGTCATCACGTGGCACCCACGCGGACCCCCCCCGGGGGAGAGAAAAGGGAGAATTATTGCTGTAACGTGGGGGTACGCAAGAGCTTTCTAACACGCGGAAAAACATATTTCCACTGCCGTACATATTTCCACTGCCGTACTTTCCCACACTGACACTGACACCTACCCGACTCGCCGCGGGAACCCCGGAGTGGATTTTGGACTCCGCGTAGCCGGCTGGGTCGTCCGGGTTTCGGTTGTACGGCTGGCCGGCACGGGGGGCCTGCCCTCCTTCCCCTTCCCCCTCCTCCACGGCTGCGGGCCACTCGGGCAGGTGGTGGGTGGCGGCGGGGTTCGCAGTGGTGGAGCCGGCGGGGGCGGGGGTCCGAGTCGTCAGCGCGCGGGGTCGCAACAGCTGCGTGTCAATTCCCACACGCGTATCAATAAGCCCCGGCCCCCACTCCAGGGCATACATACATACATCTATACATACACAATACATATTTCACACCTTCCTTCCCCCCGGCGGCCTTGGCGGTGAACGCCGCACCCACGCGAGCAGCCCACGACGACAGCCCGCTGCGCCGCGCCACCGCCAGCGCCTGCTGGTCCTGCGCTCCCTGGTTCCGGAGCCGCCCCTCCCCCCCTCCCACCCCGACATGCCGACTCCCCGCGGGGAGGGGGCTGCGGGTGCGGGTTCCCACAACGGGGGGGGACGTGCGGGACATAGGGCCCGCCATCCGCCAGCCTGCGGATGATGGTGTGTGTGTATGGGGGGGGGTGCGCAGGGCGACTTGTGTGCATGCGCGGCGTGGTAGGGAAGTGGGAAGTAAAACGTAGCATTGATAGTGATTAGAGGCGAGACTAGCAATGCTTTTAATCCTCCCTACTGACGGTGGTGGTGGTGGTGGTGGTGGTGGTCCCACGGTTGAAGGTAAGGGCGGCCCCTGGGGGCTCATTCGGCCGCGTGTTGGGCTCACCCGCTACTAAATGAGATTTCATTTGTTTTACTTGCGCGGGTAGGGGCTAGACGCACCGGGTCAACTGCCAACCACCAACACACCAACTGCTTTGGCGGTGGGGGTGGGGGTGGGGTACGGGTGCTGGTTCTCTAAAATGACGATGGCCCTTGTTGTCGTACAAAAGAAGGAAAGCGATCTCTTCCCTTCTCTCTATATGATGTGGAAAAGCTCTCGGGTTGCACACGGGTGCAGAGAGGCATCCCGGCGCGGGTGGGGGACGGGGGAGAAAGGGATGTGGAGAAGGGCGCCGAGGTCTTTAGCCCCCCACCCCCCCCCTACCCCAGGGAGCACCCACCTCGCACGGGGCTGCCGCTGCCGCTGCCGCTGCCGCCAGTGGCGGCGCAAAACTCGTCGTACGCATCCTTCACCTCCCTCCCACGACGGGGAGCTGCACTGCCCGTACCTGTCGTACCAGTGTGGTCAGCATGTTCAAAAAAAAGCATCGGCATATTCAAACGGCTATCCTCGTGCCGTTTGTAGGGCATACACAACCCTTTTTCCCCCCCTTCCCCCTTCCCCCTGTTGTACTCCCCCCCGCCCTTCAAGGGATGAGGGAACCCCCTTTTTCCCCCCCTTCCCCCTTCCCCCTGTTGTACTCCTCCCCGCCCTTCAAGGGATGAGGGAGAGGGAGATCTTACCAAAGAACCCGAACATGGAGCGCCCCTCCGGTGGCTGCTCGGCGGCGGGCGGTGCTGCGTGCGGAGGTCGCGGGGGCGATCCGGGCGCCTGGGCGCCGGTAACCTGCCGGTCCTTGCCTGTTTAGGACACAATACACACATACATACATATACACATACAAACATATATACATACACGCAACACGAGCTAATGGGTCGATAACAGCAAGTACACGAGACCCATTGGTAATCGACGTTGAATAATAAGGGCGAGATGTGTACTATTTGAGACCCCCTTCCCTTGGGCCTCATCACTCCCGCGTCCCGCCCCTCCTTTCACACATACATACACATCTACATACACACATATACCCATGCATACACATCTACATACACGCATACGCATATACACACGCATACATACACACATACACATACACACACATACACACACACATACACACACATACACCCACATACACCCACACACATACACCCACATACACCCACATACACACCCACATACACACCCACATACACACCCACATACACACCCACATACACACCCACATACACACCCACATACACACCCACATACACACCCACATACACACCCACATACACACCCACATACACACCCACATACACACCCACATACACACCCACATACACCCACACACACCCACATACACCCATACACACCCACATACACCCACATACACCCACATACACCCACATACACCCACATACACCCACATACACCCACATACACCCACATACATCCACATACACCCACATACATACATACACACATACATACACACACATACACACACATACACCCACATACACCCACATACACCCACATACACACACATACACACATCCCCCCCGCCTCACCCAGCACCATGGCGCTGGTCGCCTCCTTGACCGCTTCGGCCGCACTGTGACGATCCGCAGCCGCCTCCTTACCGGGCGCAACCTGCGGTGGGTTGGCGTGTCAGTTAAGTTGGTTAGATGTGTACTCCGTGCAGGCAGAGAAACGGCTCGTGTACTGCACGCTTCTGTAGGCCTTTTCCCAGGACAAAACACGGCCCCCCTCCCCCCCAAGGAAACAAGTGCATGTATGTATGTATGTATGTATGTATGTGTACGTGTCGTGTAGTGCAAAGCAGACACAACCAAAGGTGGGAGCACTGCTCGGCGGCGGGGTAAGGACGACTGGACAGCTTCCCGCCGTACAAGGGAAGGTCTTACCCGTACGACTTCGGCCTCGTAGATACGGCGTTGTACGGGATCGTCCAAGTGATGCACCCTCTCCACATTCCTTGCGGTGTCGGCTACACTACCGGTGGTGGTGGTGCCGCCGGGGGCGGGGGCGCCGCCGTGACGAATCCTGCGCACAGCGCACAGCACCACACACACACAAAAAATACTATTATTGCACTTTTGTATCTGAGCGGGAGTTACCAAATTCCCCTGATTCCAAAATTTACGAAGTCAAATCAATATATTTACAAATTTGCAACCTCAGAAAGCAGCGCAATCCGCAGTCCCTACTATACCCAGTACCCAGTACCCAGTACCGGTACACTCACTCCTCCACGGCGAGTTCCGCACTGCCTCGCAGGCTAGCCGCCCCCGAGGCCAGGACGTCCCGCAGACCCCGCTCCTCCACCTCCCTGAAGAAGTTGGGCTTGTTGAAGTCGGGGGCGAAGGGGGGGTTGTGCTGGCGGGGGTCGATCGCGGTCCGTGGTCGCCGTCATCGTCGTAATGTCGCGGCGGTGTATGAAGTGCCGCACACCACCACCGCCACCACCGCCACCAGCAACAGGACCACGGTGCGAGAGGGGGCGGGGGCGGGGGGACCACAGAGGTGGTTGTAACGGTGTCATGAGAGGTCGCAAGAGAAAGGAACAGACAACCCCCACTAAACCCTAAGCCCAGCGACGGGATGTGACTTCGCCTTCCCAGCAGGCCGAAGTCATCCCCCCCTTCCAACCCTCCATCCCTCTCCCCCCCCTTCCCCCTTCCCCCTTCCCCTGCACCCACCAGTGGCCCCCCGGGCATCTCCTTCCCGCTCTCCTCTCCCGAGAGGATGGAGGTGCTGTCCCGCTCCACATCCGCACCCGCACCCGCACCCGCAGCGATGGCCGTCTTGTTGTCCACTAGCCCGGGCTCCAGGGGGGAGGCGCCGATAGGTGCGGGTTTGCGGTCCGAGGCAGGGGACTGCTCCGAATGGTGCTCCGAAACCCCACCGGCACCTCCACGGTTTCCCCCCAGACCCAGCACATCCCCCAGTGTGTGCGCCAGCGACGACAGCAGGCCTCCACCTCCTCCGCCCGCTCCGTGCTCCGCCTCATGGCCCTCCTTGATGGCCTGCTGGTGGGGCTGCATAAGGCCCATTCGTTCCGCCGCTTCCGGGTGCCGCTGCTGCAGCTGCTCCCGGGCGGCTGACGACACCGCCTGGCGCTGCGCGGCGAGTGCGGCAATGCGCTCCTCGGCCTCGGCCTCCTGGGGAAAGGGGGAAATCATGTGCGGCAAGGAAACAAGGAATGTGGATTGCCGGAAGACGTCCAGAGTTTTAAACTGCCTCTAGGACCACGTGCCCTCTGTTCTCTCCCCCCTTTTGGCTGCTGTTTGTTGTTGAGGATATCATGTTGTGCACTAGCCTGTGGGGGTGTCATAGTGCCGTATGCATATGATGATATATCGTACATCTGTACTGCTGTACGACTGTGCAGCACAGCTCCACAGCACATGCAAATACACATGACAAATGTGTTCAAATGGCCCAGAAACTTCCCACTCTGTAACAATTCAATTCAGTTCAATACACATGTACATGTGTACTACACATACACACACAGCAGCAGCAGCAGCAGCCCCCGTCCCCCCCCGTCCCCCCTCACTCGCAGCTCCCGAATCTCCTTGTCGATCGGCATGCTGCCCGGCATACCCTCCATTCGCTGTCTCAGCTCGGCCATCCGCGCCTCCTCACCCCCCTCGCCCCCTCCAGTCGCCGCAGGGCCGCCCGAGGGACCCAGGCTGGACAGCGACCCGTCGACCGTGTGTGCACCTTCCGTGTAGGGTGTAGGTGTTACGACCACGTGGAGCACGTGGGGCGGGTACGGGGACGACAGGGGTGCAGTACGGGTGTGTGGGGGGGGGGGGGGCCGCTAGTGCCCGCTAGTATGTATGTAGTGCAAACGTTCTCTTTGCCTCCCTCCCCTCGCGCAAACACCGCTTTCCCCCCCCCTACATACATATAGACACCCCTGCAATGATGGAGAATGCTTCGGCGATCGTTCCCGTTGGGGTACGGTTAGGTGCCCCTTGCCAGTGTCAGGCCCGGATCGATATATTACAGAACACCGCACACCCCCACTGCACACCTACCTGTCACGGTGGCGATAGCCT